CAAGAAGGGGGTAGAGGTGACCCCAGGGGACTCGCCTTATATTTCATTTGATTTGTTTTATTGTCCCTTACAAGAATATATATGGTTTCGGGGTGGGGATCTTGATCGTTTAGAAGTTTTCAAAAAGAAGGGGGGTGGGGGTATTGTCCCATACAAGAATATATATTTGGTTTAGGGGTAGGGATCTCAACCGTTTACAAGTTCTCAAACAGGAGGGGGTGGGGGTGACCCCAGGGGACTCGCCTTTTATTTCATTTGTGTAGTTTTATTGTCCCATACAAGAATATATATGGTTTTGGGGTGGGGATCTAGACCGTTAATAAGTTTTCAAAAAGAAGGGGTTAGGGGTGACCCCCTGGACTTCCCCTATATTTCATTTGATTTGTGTTATTGTACCATTCAAGAATATATATGATTTAGGGGTGGGGATCTCAACCGTTTACAAGTTCTCAAACAGGAGGGGATGATGGTGACCCAGGGGGACTCGCCTTATATTTCATTTGATGTGTTTTATTGTCCCGTACAAGAATATATATGGTTTCGGCGTGGGGATCTTGACCATTTACAAGTTTCAAAAAAAAAAAGGGGATGGGGGTTACCCCAGGGGACTTCACCTCAATTTCATTTGATTAGTTTTATTGTCCCAATCAAGAATATATATGGTTTAGGGGTGGGGATCTCGACCGTTTACAAGTTATCAAAAAGAAGTGGCCGGGGGTTACCCCCATTGACTTCCCCTATATTTCATTTGATTTGTGTTATTGTCCCATACGAGAATATATATGGCTAAGGGGTGGGGATCTCGACCGTTTACAAGTTCTTAAACAGGAGGGGGTAGTGTGACCCCAGGGGACTCGCCTTATATTTCATTTGATTTGTTTTTTTGTCCCATACAAGAATATATATGGTTTCGGGGTGGGGATCTTGACCGTTTACAAGTTTTCAAAAAGAAGTGGGCTGGGGGTTTACGCCAGAGGACTTCCCCTCAATTTCATTTAATTTGTTTTATTGTCCCATTCAAGAATATATATGGTTTAGGGGCGGGGATCTCGACCGTTTACAAGTTCTTAAACAGGAGGGGGTAGTGTGACCCCAGGGGACTCGCCTTATATTTCATTTGATTTGTTTTTTTGTCCCATACAAGAATATATATGGTTTCGGGGTGGGGATCTTGACCGTTAACAAGTTATCAAAAAGAAGGGGGGTGGGGATTACCCCCATGGACTTCCCCTGTATTTCATTAGATTTGTTTTATTGTCCCATACAAGAATATATATGGTTTCGGGGTGGGGATCTCGACCGTTTACAAGTTCTCAAACAGGAGGGGGTGGGGTTGACCCCAGGAGACTCGCCTTTTATTTCATTTGATTAGTTTTATTGTCCCATACAAAAATATATATGGTTTCGGGATGGGGATCTTGACCGTTTACAAGTTTTCAAAAAGAAGGGGGGTGTGGGTGTCCCCCCTTGACTTCCCTTATATTTAATTTGATTTGTGTTATTGTCCCATTCAAGAATACATATTGTTTAGGGTCGGGGATCTCGACCGTTTACAAGTTCTTAAACAAGAGGGGGTGGAGGTGACCCCAGGGGACTCGCCTTATATTTCATTTGATTTGTTTTATTGTCCCTTAAAGAAAATATATGGTTTCGGGGTTGGGATCTTGACCGTTTACAGGTTTTCAAAAAGAAGGGGGTGGGGGTATTGTCCCATACAAGAATATATATATGGTTTAGGGGTAGGGATCTCGACCGTTTACAAGTTCTCAAACAGGAGGGGGTGGGGTGACCCCAGGGGACTCACCTTTTATTTCATTTGTGTAGTTTTATTGTCCCATACAAGAATATATATGGTGTTGGGATGGGGATCTAGACCGTTTAAAAGTCTTCAAAAAGAAGGGGTTAGGGGGTGACCCCCTGGACTTCCCCTATATTTCATTTGATTTGTGTTATTGTCCCATTCAAGAATATAAATGGTTTAGGGGTGGGGATCTCAACCGTTTACAAGTTCTTAAACAGGAGGGGGTGATGGTGACCCAGGGGGACTCGCCTTATATTTCATTTGATTTGTTTTATTGTCCCGTACAAGAATATATATGGTTTCGGCGTGGGGATCTTGACCATTTACAAGTTTTCAAAAAAAAAAGGATGGGGTTACCCCAGGGGACTTCCCCTCAATTTCATTTGATTTGTTTTATTGTCCTAATCAAGAATGTATATGGTTTAGGGGTGGGGATCTCGACCGTTTACAAGTTATCAAAAAGAAGTGGCCGGGGGTTACCCCCATTGACTTCCCCTATATTTCATTTGATTTGTTTTATTGTCCCATACGAGAATATATATGGTTTAGGGGTGGGGATCTCGACCGTTTACAAGTTCTTAAACAGGAGGGGGTAGTGTGACCCCAGGGGACTCGCCTTATATTTCATTTGATTTGTTTTTTTGTCCGATACAAGAACATATATGGTTTCGGGTTGGGGATCTTGACCGTTTACAAGTTTTCAAAAAGAAGGGGGGGGGGGGGTGGGGGGTAACCCCAGGGACTTCCCCTCAATTTCTTTAAATTTGTTTTATTGTCCCATTCAAGAATATATATGGTTTAGGGTGGGGATCTCGAACGTTTACAAGTTATCAAAAAGAAGGGGGTGGGGGTTACCCCCATGTACCTCCCCTATATTTCATTTTATTTGTTTTATTGTCCCATACAAGAATATATATGGTTTAGGGACGGGGATCTCGACCGTTTACAAGTTCTCAAACAGGATGGGGTGGGGTGACCTCAGGGGACTCGCCTTTTATTTCATTTGATTTGTTTTACTGTTCCATACAAAAATATATATGGTTTCGGGGTGGGGATCTTGACCGTTTACAAGTTTTCAAAAGGAAGGGGGTGGGGGTGACTCCCATTGACTTCCCCTATAATTCGTTTAATTTGTGTTATTGTCCCATACAAGAATATAAATGGTTTAGGGGTGGGGATCTCCACCGTTTACAAGTACTCAAACAGGAGGGGGTTGGGGTGACCCCAGGGGACTCGCCTTTTATTTCATTTGATTAGTTTTATTGTCCCATACAAGAATATATATGGTTTCAGGGTGGGGATCTTGACCGTTTACAAGTTTTCAAAAAGAAGGGGGTGGTGGTGAACCCGGGGACCCCCAATATTTCATTTGATTTGTTTTATTGTCCCATACAAGAATATATATGGTTTAGGGGTGGGTATCTTGACCGTTTACAAGTTATCAAAATGAAGGGGGTGGGGGTTACCCCCATGTACTTCCCCTATATTTTATTTGATTTGTTTTATTGTCCCATACAAGAATATATATGGTTTAGGGGTGGGGATCTCGACCGTTTCCAAGTTTTCAAAAAGAAGGGGGTTGGGGGTGACCCCATGGACTTCCCCTATATTTCATTTGATTTGTGTTATTGTCGCATACAAGAATATATATGGTTTCGGGTTGAGGATCTTGACCGTTTCCAAGTTTTCAAAAAGAAGGGGGTGGGGGTGACTCCATGGACTTCCCCTATATTTCATTTGATTTGTGTTATTGTCCCATACAAGAATATATATGGTTTAGGGGTTGAGATCTCGACCGTTTACAAGTTCTCAATAAGGAGGCGGTTTGGGTGACCCCAGGGGACTCGCCTTTTATTTCATTTGATTAGTTTTCTTGTCCCATACAAGAATTTATATGGTTTCAGGATGGGGATCTTGACCGTTTACAAGTTTTCAAAAAGAAGGGGGTTGAGTGAACCCGGGGACTACCCCAATATTTCATTTGATTTGTTTTATTGTCCCATACAAGAATATATATTGTTTAGGGGTGGGGATCTCGACCGTTTACAAGATAAAGGCACATTCTCAAATTGAAGGGGGTTGGGGGTTAGAATATATATATGGTTTAGGGAGACTTTATTATCTACAAAATGTGTAATAACGAACAGTTAATTTCAAACCTCATTTATACAGTCCTACTAGTGAATTTCAAACTTTATATATAGTCCTACAGATCTTATCAGTAAACAGAAATTTTCAAATAAATCTGTCACTCGAATGATATGATAACAAGAGAAAAATATTTTAAAATACCACTTTTGGATATTAAAAATGGCGATAACTCAAAAAGGAAAAATACTAAAATCGTGAAAATTGACCTAGATCTTCATTAAGTCACAAGAAACAACATATTTGAAAACAAATAATCACAGCATTTTCATGTTATTGAAGAGACACTGTTTGGCAGCCGCCCGTCCGCCGTACATCCCCAAATAAATAACCGATATTTCCTTCGAAAATCCGGTTAAAAATGAAACACACTATCCTCATAACTCCTTTTTACTGTGATATTATCCGAACGTAGGACGTACACGTAACTGAATAACATTCAGCGTAGGAGTTTTCATTCGTATGCAGTCAGGTTTTTACACGACTATAATGCGCTAAGATCATTTATGCAACTTCGCGGAATTTTATTTTATTTTGATTTATACATCTTTTAAGCTCTAGTGCATTAATTCCTCATGTTATGCATCAAAATAGGAATAACGGTTCTGTAGTTTCTTTTTCAATTTAATTTGAACACAACGAAATCGACTTAGTGTTGCACATACGTTATAATACATGTGTATTTACAGGGAGGTAAATAGTAACAGTCATTAGTATGTGCATCACTAAGTCCGCGCATAGTATATATATATTTGTATCGAGAATTTTATCAAGCTGCTGTTTACAGAGCGAAAGAGGCACGTCATATTAGAATTAGGGATAATATAGCAAATTAAATTGATAATAATTTTCCTTAAGCTTTAAATTAGGAAAAACATACATTGTGACAAATATCCATCAGAAACCAAGGGAAGTCAATTCAAGCAACTATACGTTGTCTCAAATAAAAACATATCACGTCTCTTCGTTTTGATATTTTACAAGTAAACAAGCTGTATAGTGGCAAATATTGTTAACAATTAATATGAACGAAACATAATTAAGTGCATACCTTGCTTCTTCTGCGTGTACACTTGAAGTGTTAAAATGAATATGATTTACTTTGTTTATCACTACTATGGAGACGTGCTCATTGGGTTGGAACTGAAATTTTTTTTATTGATATTTTTAGATATGCTTCCTTGTGTACATTTAGATCTGTATTATAGATTAGTTTTATGGGTAATTTTAAATAAATGTCGAATTTTCAGAACACTTATGATAATAAATTTTATTTTTCTTGGAAAAAAGGAAGTTGTTTTTAGGGACCTTCCGTTTAAAATTTTCCTTGGAGTTCTTTTTTTTTTTGTTATTTTACTTTTTACTGCATGTAATTGATTATGTTTACATGTTAACTGAAGCACTAATCATCCACATTCATTGAAGCCAGGATTGTACTGCCATTTATGTTTTTCGTTCTTTGTGCTAGTATAGATGAACCGTTGTCTTTTTAACTCCAAATTTGGTTAAATCTTTCACATATTTTTATGAGGTATGGGATTTTGCTTATTGTTGAAGGCCACACAGTGACGTATAATTGTCCACATCTTTGTCATTTAGTCTATAGAAAGATGTATCATTTGTAATCAGACCACGTCTTATTTTTATATTTAACAAGGCCAAATGTTAAACAGTGGCGAATGTGTAAACATATGAATTGGACATAATAAAGTGCATAAATTGCTACTTTTTGCATAAAACCTTTTATTGCTAAAAAGAAAATAAGCTAACGTTTGCTTTGTTTACTAAAACTGTTAAAGTGTGCAGTAAACATGTAGTGATCAAGGCCAATGTTATTATATATATGTCCTTGTTACTGATGATGAAATGTTAGGTACAATATACATGTTGATCTGCAATATAGATCAGTTTAAGTGTTGGTTTCAAGCTGTTTAAATATTGACAAATGATATACAAATTACTTTACGATTATAAAAATGATTTAAACGAAAGATATACCAATCAAATATCGACCAACAACATAGTAAATAATGAATTAAACTGGAAAAAAATAATCAACCTGTCTTCCCCAAACTGCACATGGATGGTATTACTAGATTTCGTCCAAAACAAAACCAGCGACCATAAACTTCTGCTTCAACTTTAAGATCAATATGCTTTATCCTCTTCCCAATTTCTTTCATTGGTTTAAGATTGGTTTCAAGCAAGATAGTATATCAAATCAATATTTTAGACACAAGGCAAAGACTATGTTCCAGATTTTTTTTTGGGGAAGCATTAAAAAAGTCACATATAATAGGTCACTGTCTTTAATCAAAGACGTGTGTCTTTACCATATGTCAAGTTCTGAATAGAGTATGAACATCAAGGCATAAAGTTAATGATCTAAACATATACTACAAGAATCAAAACCTTGGTCTTTGGTTGTTGAACTGCCATCTCCTTGACGTATTCTTCACATCTCTTACTTAATATATAATTTGTTAAAAGTAAAAAAAAATAAAAATCAAAGCACTGTAAGCGCTGTAGGCAGTTAACCAAAAACCAAGGCAAACGTAATTATGAAAACTGTGGGAGTCTTGCTTCAATTTTTTTTTAAGATTTGAAAAAAGAAACATTAAACATTTGTATATTGTACATTGTTTATTTAATGAAATGATTACTAAGGCAAATTAATTAATATTTTATCAAGGTTTTCAAAAGCAACGCATATATATATCATTCAGTATTAGTGGTAAAAGTTGACGAAGAATGAGTTTGTAATAGTTTGAACGGATTTGCTTCCCTGGAAGGAACACCGAATTTGGGTTCTTAAGTGCAAAAATTATGAAAAACAAATCAGACAAATGTTTACTACTACAGGGATCAAAGGTGAGGTCTGACTGACCTGCCCATAGTAAATGTAAATTACCCCCACCTTCACCCCAAGTCCATGATGTCACTCCATACCAAGTTTGGAATAAAATGACAGGTGATTATAAAACAGTTGGTCTAACATTCTTGGGCTTTACACTTCTTGAAAGATTCATATGTTTTCTTTAAAAATGAGCCATAAATGAAATAATTCAAAAAATATTTTAAGTAAATCCAATCAACCTAGACTCATTTTTAGCATCAATAAAATTTTATAATGAACAAGAAATAATTGTAACAGGATGCTGTGACGAAGTTTCCCTAACAAAGCTACCATAATTCGTCATTCCCATGGTCGCCTGGCATTGGACAGTTCACATTGGTTTGGTCTAGTAAAGTGATATGCATATGTAACGCCTAGGAGATTGACCCTGTTTGTCATTCAAATCTTTTTGAAATGACGAACAGGAATAAATAGGGTTTAGGAGTGGGCATCTCGACCGTTTACAAGTTCTCAAACAGGAGGGGGTGTGGTGACCCCCAGGGATTTCCCCCTTTATTTCCTTTCATTTGTTATACTGTTCCATACATGAATATATATAGTTTAGGGGTGGGGATCTTAACCGTCCTGTTTGTCATTCAAATCTTTTAGAAATGACGAACAGGAATAAATAGGGTTTAGGAGTGGGTATCTCGACCGTTTACAAGTTCCCAAACAGGAGGGGATGTGGTGACCCCCAGGGACTCCCCCTATATTTCATTTGATTTGTTATATTGTCCCATACAAGAATATATATGGTTTAGGAGTGGGGATCTTAACCGTTTCCAAAGTTCTCAAACAGGAGGGGTGGAGTGACTCACGGGACTCCCCCTATATTTCATTTGATTTGTTATACTGTCTCTTCCATGAATATATATGGTTTAGGGGTAGGGATCTCGACTGTTTACAAGTTATCAAACAGAAGGGGGTGGGGTTACAATGGGTACTCCCCCAAATTATTTTCATTTTGATTGTTTTATTATCCCATACAAGAATATATATGGTTTAGCTATAGGGGTGGGAATCACAATTCACCCTATATTTTATTTGATTTATTTTATTGTCCTGTTCTCATTAATGAAGACCGTGTGTGTCTATCACTTACTGTTTTCGAGTAATAGTCATTTGAAAATTAAAAAAAAATCCCATATGGTTCTACAGTAAACCCCATCCCTTCTTTAGGCCCCTCAAAATACCCCTAAATAAGGCACAAACGAAAATTGATGGCTTACATTTTATGAAACCTAAGTAAATCTGACAAGCGGTCCGAGTTGTCTTGTTAGATGGGCCGAGTAGACTCCGTCCGACTTGTCTCCGGGACGAGTTGTTCCGCATTTCTTAAAACATCGACCAGTACGTCAATTTCCGTAAAAATAACATCAGAATCAAACGAACTTACGTTTCGTGTACGACTAATACCTGCAAACTTTCACGATTTAGGCGTGAACTACATGATATTGATCCGCTGTCCTGATTTCACGATCGTGTTCGTGAAAATAGATAGCCCCAAAACACGATACTTTGAAAATTACACGCAAAATATTTTTGTTTTCCCAAGGGAGGCAACTCGTGTTTAACAAATTTAATCCAATCAAAAGTCAGTGGTTACGCATTCACCAGTTGATTAATGGTACTATAGTAAACAATCAAAGAATAGAAGTTTGTTAAGTATTTAGAGTTGTTGTTTTTTTGGGCTTGGGTGTTAGAATTATTAAAATCGGAATTACTAATGACGAGCTATCACTTGCAAAACTTGTTATATTGGTATATATGTAACGGAAACCAGTCTAGTAGTGCATTCTCCGAGAGTGCATTACTTGACAAGGTCATTTATGTAAAAAACGGAGTAATATAAAAGAATGAAATTCAAATGTGATTACACAATTTATTAACACTCATCTCAAACAAAAAGAATTTCATGATTAACAATAATTACCTTTCTATCATCAGAATCCTCAAAATTTAAAAGTTACGTTAATTTCGTCTTCTAATTTGAAATTGCCGCCAACTTATTAATAGACTACTGACGTATTTAATACGTATCGACGACAAACAATATCCCTACGACTTTTGCCATTTGGGAAATGTAAACGACTTGTCTTTAGAGATTTTCGGCGATTAAATATTTCATACAATTGTTCTTTGACATCTTAGCCAAAAGTACAGTGGAAAATAAACTACATAAGGATTTCTATTGAGCACTACTTCCTATGTGCAACTTCAAAAATTTTGGGTTGTTCGACGATCATTTAAGGTTTTTCTGGTCATATTTTTTGTATTCCAGAATTGATAGTATGAAAAAAGTGCCCAATTAGTTATTAATAACATACTAAGCCAGATAGATAATAACAACAGCACTTTTTCACTATTCAGTGGGAAGAACACAAATCTAGGGTGCTAGCATATGGCAGCTTAACTGCCAAAAAATAAATCGAAATATTTATTGCTGCTTCTCCTTCAAACAAGTTGCATTAAGGAGTAGAGAGATGTCTTGTTGACCTAGAATTTAAAGCACCATTGTTCAGTGTGAATAGATTGTTGATATCCCAGCTATATCTTGGTAGAAAAAACTGTTGCCTTAGGGAAGGTTCCAATCCTTTCAAGAATGGTGAGAAACAAACAACAATAACCAAACTCTACACATAAAACTAAATATTGAGCAGTATGAACCTACCGAAAAACTAGATGTTCTATCTGATCACTAGTAGGGTCAGCAGCTCATGCTTCACTAGACACATCTGTTGTGTTACTCTTGCTCAAGACTATCCAGTGATTAGGCATCTTACAATAGAGGATTTAGATATGACAAAAGACAAATACTGACAAGATTCCTGACTTAGGTCATACACATAAACATGCATGTCTTTAGAGATTTCAACTAAATAACAGTATAATAGATAATTAAGACCATAGAATAAAAGAAACGATAATACCCATTATCATAGGTATCAAAGAATGCTTGAAGTAACCTGAATTATGGTATTGTTTTATTGTGAATATTTTCGTCAGTTACTGAAAGGGTGAACAGGGGAGTCACTGATTCCCACTTCCCTCCCATTAATTCCAATTCATTCTAGTTACCCCCCAACAAAAATCAGTCCAAGAAACTTTTCCAGAACATCCCTATTTATTACTCACCCTCTTCTAACAGTTCCCTCCCCTCCTCTATCCCTGCTATCCTGACTCCCACTTCCCTCCCCTCTTTGCGTTTGTTACACAGCAATACTTATTAATATTCAGAGATATATTACTTCATATAATCATTTATTTGTTCAAATATATACAATACATTAAAATATAAAAGGATATTTTATCACACAAATTATCAATATTTTCTTTGTATTGTAATATAACTATACATAACATTAATTGAAAGCTTTACCATATAAAATATATTTTCTTGTTACCCCGGTATATGGTTTTTACCTGGATTAGAAATCATTTACTGATGAAATTTTTCCAATAACTTTAAACCAAAGTATAAATAATTGTTAAGCAACAAATGTTTGCAGATGCTATTTTCAATATGTAGCCATTTCTATATATATACATAGCAGCAATTAATGAATTTGGTAATGTATTCATATATATATTAAAGTTCGAAATATTATCTTTTTTCTGTTTATTTTTCTACTCTTAAAAGTGTTGTAATTAAGTCTCTCACAAAAATATTTAGTTTACAGCACTTTAAAGACATTATCTTCTGAACATCAGGGTTCAGATAGAAAAACAATTGTTATCATTTACCATTTTTATTTCTTGTAGTATATCATGTATTCAGAATAACAAGAAGCCTAGGGATTGTAATGGAGAACACTGAATTCTGCAATATGAGTTTTCATAATAATCTGAAAATTTGTCCTTTACTTTGCACATTACATGTATTTAGAGATCAAGCTACCTTAAAAGAGTGAAATATCAAACACAAGTAAATGACAATGTCTTGCTTAACTTTCTGTTCTGAAAATAATGACATAAAACAAATATTCTGACCCACCCTCACCCCCCAAATTTTTTAAGGTGTTCATCAATATGACAGAGGATCACCCATAAATTTCAAAAAAGACAAAATGGAGCATTGTCAGGTCCTTGTTACCGTAGGCTGGACACAGGATCTGTAGTTAAATAAAATTGTATAACTTCATACTATTAAATAAATGATTGCCAACATTAAAGTCAGCCCAACATGTACGGTGCTTATACTTGATGTTGATCTACTTCTCAAAATAAACATCAGTTGGGAAAGTCATACATTTTAATTACCAAGGAAAATAACCTCAATATGAGTTGAATTCAGGTCATATTTAACATCAACAAATAAGTTAACTTTGATAAAATATACATGATATAATAACATAAAATATTAAATTAGGAGGCATAAAAGAATGTTCATAAGAATAGCTTTTGATATTTTATTTCCATGAGCCACCGCTCATTGATGTATACTCTTGTTTTGTTTGTACATCTTTAATACAGTACTGTGAACATATTAGTCAGGGAAAATGAAAAAAGTTTAAAATGACCTACTGTGGGTTCAAATTTTTTCGTGGCTACCAATTTTCGTGGATTGAGGAATGCCTGTATTTTCGTGGATATTTGAATTCGTGGTTTTGCCAAAGTCTGCATACAAACCTATAGAAAATTTGCTCCTTGAACATTTAAATTTGTGGTACACCTATACTTATGAATCCACATAAATTGGTATCCAACAAATAATAACGAATCCACAGTACTGTGAAAGTACTTTTATTTGTGGGGTACCAATTTTTGTGGTTTTCGTGGATGGCTTTATCCACGAATTTAACTGTCCAACGAATATAATAACTGTTGTCCAATTCCAGACATGGAAAGATCCCCATGTAGGTTTGATTACATGGATACGGTCATATAAACCAACGTACTATGAACTAAATATACATTCTTCAGACCAGATTTTACCCATTTAATCTTTAAAAAATCTAAAATGTAAGACTGTCAACATTTTAATTCTCATGAGAAATATTTTTTTATCGATGAAAGTCAGATATCCGGTGATGATATGCGATAATGAAATGTTCCTTTTTTCATAATTCTCATAACAAAAAAATACTGATTTCATTTTGGGCTTGCTTTTTTATGTCATAATAATTGATTCTACAATTCAAAATATTATGAACTTGTTATTTATGAAGGACGAACAAGTGAGTGAAAATGAACACCTTATTTAACAATGCCCTACAAATCATTATAAAACAACATATGATTAATATCACGAATATTCGATTCTGAAGTCTTCAAATTCGTTACTCGATTTTTTTTCTTCAGAAAACTAAAATCCAGGAATTTAAGAACCCACGAACATGTAGCTTTTGCTGAAACAACGAAAATTGATACCCACGAATAAAAATACTTTCACAGTATTATAATTTGCATGCTATAAAAATAAGGCGATGTGGTATGTTTGCCGATGAGACAACTGTCCTCTAAATGGAGACCAAATAGCTTTCTCATTAAGGTGTATCCCCTTGCAAGTTCAAATAAAGTTACAGCTCAGTGTCTGACATTAATCTACAAGAGTGAATCAAGAAATATGATAAATTGACCTAATTTGAACATGGACTGTAGCTTCTTTACAATATAAGCAAAACTAAATGAGTATGTGTGCACATACAATAGGTCAACCAACAGAAGAGTCGTTGATATACTCACCCTCCTACCCCCACAAACACACACACCCAAGATGATTGATGATGCACATTGCAAAAAACAGCATACAGCATTAAAGTTGTGACAAAGGATGCTTCCATTAAAGATTACATACATAGCTGTTTCATTTGATCTTATTGAACTAAACACATAATTTAGATCATCTTAAACACAAGGTGAGTCCTATTCTAGCAAAACATGAAAGCCCTTTAGTTACTCTTCAAACTTTTGATTGAATTACATATGCATGATAAAATCTTACGAGGACATGTTGCCCAACAATAAAAAGTTTGCAGATCATGGTGTTTTTGGTGTAAAATTTTCACATTGCACAGATCCCTGTGATAATGTCACCATGTTATCTTTGTCACCATCCAAACATATACTCCATAGCCTTGGCTGCAAATGTATTAGACTTTTGAGGAACTTGATTGTTTCTTACTACCTGTAATATAGAAAATTAAGAATGATTTTAAAATAATCTGGCATGTCTTAAAGTCACATATTTATTAACATAAAATATAAAAAAAATTAAAAACGAATGGTTTTTCAAATAACCTGGCAAGTCTTAAAACTCATATTAACTGGGTTTTTTTTCAAGGAGTAGGGGCAATAAGGCCCTTATTTGGCCCAAATATTACTGCAAATTTAAAAGTTATCATACATATTCTTAAATTTGTCCAAACTAGACTAAGGTACAAGGTATTCAAAAAATAAAAACAAATTTCACATTGAACGAGTTACCATGGCAACAAACCATGACAAAATTGCATATTTTGTAAAATTTCTTGATTTTCCTTGTTTTTCATCAAATTCTAAGTATATTTTAGATTGGAAAAGTATGTGCACAACCAAGAAACAATATTATATTTGTTGAAATTTTGTCAATAGTTATAATAAAGATTCTCTTAAATTATTTTGTTGTTTCTTGGCTGTGCATGATGTTTCCACAATGGAAATAACGATGGAAAACTGCATGAATTCTGTATTTTTCATCGTCTTAATGCCTGTACTCCTTTATTTAAACACTTGAAAGTATATAATTGAAGATAAAAATAGGCATCTACAGCAGTTTTATTAAAATCTGTTAATGGGAGACAATACTCATACATTTAATGTTCTAGATTTCAAATTTTATTAAACAATTGATTTTTAATCTACATAAATATCTTTTAAAATCAAAAATATTTTTGGCACTGAATACAAATTTAGATAAATTACATCATTTTCACTTCTTGCTGATTTATAAGCAGCTGTCAATGGTCGGATAGGTGTTCCCTTTGATGTCCCAGGTGTTCCTTTTGATGTTACAGGTGTATCCATTAATCCTAATACAGGTGTACCAGAAAAACTAGGATTCTCCTTATCTTCCATCACAGACTGAAATTAATCAAGTTTGTTTAGATACTAAATACATATGGTGTTCCCTACAGAAACATCATGATATAAATTAGATACATGAGGAAGGCATTCCCTTAGACATGTTAAAAATCTGAGGTTTTTGCTTAAATCTTGATATTAATTAGATACTACATACAAAAGGTGTTCTCTTTGATGTTAGAGGAGTATATTTGGTTCAATTAATTTGACTTGATCATTCATACATTTAAATGTATTTCCAAGTTTAACAAGAGATAAACAAGAGACTAGGGTTGAAATACATGAAATATCAGCAGATTTTTTTCATTTAAATGAAGCATTATCAAGAATTTTTGAGAATGGTTGTCTAATTGGCAATCCTACCACATCTCCTTATTTTTATATTGGGGTTCTTCATTTTGATTAACTGAGATTGACTTTTAAATTTACACATTGAATTTTTTTTATATTTCCATCAGTACCACACACTGACCTAGTCAGGTGAATCCCCTGAGTCTGTCATCTATAAAAATTCTGACTTCCTCATTGAATTTAGAAATCCATTGTAGTGGGACTAGATTTAGACCCCGCAAATAAATCAGCCCTCAAATACTATTGTAAAATTAATACTAAAACTGCAATTTCCTGTAGTTTTGACCGAGATCCACTTACTTTATCAATGCAAGGAGTAACTCCAACCATTATATTACCAGCAAACATTCTGCCATTTTTACTAAGAGCTTTTTTGGCCTGTAGTTTGGACTGATAATGTAAATGCATCCAATTCCCTTCAGTAGCTATCTGCATAAAAAAAATTAAATTTGACAATACATAACAAAATATGTGAAAACATATTATTTGAAAACAACAATTAAAATCAGTAAATAAACAAGTTATTTTTATTTACTTGAAGAAGTAAATAATAATATACTTATATAAGTAAATTTGTTATATTCATATTTTCTTATAAGGTTTGAATAATCTCCCCTTAATTTCTCCAAAAATTTACTTGTACAGTCTTCACGCTGAGTGGCAGCCCAGGCTTGTAATATTGCTCTCGGGCCTGTAAAAATCATATCTACAAGCCAACAGAATCTAACTAAAAATTTTCAAAAATTGAGCTCCGGGCCTGTAGATTTAGCAGTTCATCGTGAAGACTGCTTGTATAAGTAATTTTTTTTTACAATCCTTAAGATTCTCAAGTTTCGGGATGCAAAAACATGCCTTAAACAATTTTTCTCTGGTTAGCTCACAATTTTTTATTAGAGTTCAACGTTTCATCTCATTAATTCAACAAAGAAACTAATTGCACAAAGATCTTAAGTAATTACACAAGGCCTTCAAACATTGCCCCTTGGGGGCTTGTAAATGAGCAGTGTTTTGAAGATAACAGACAAATGAGATTTTCATTGTCCATGAAATTACACTCAAATGGTTAGTAAAGACATCTGCAAAGGACAGACAATTAAAAATTCTATTAGAGCACAGGGTTCGACATTAACTTTTATACCAACTTGTCCAGTTGGGCAAGTGCCCTATTACTTTTACTTGTCCGAAAGTGAAATCTACATGCCCAAACTTTTACATGCTATTTTTTTGGTTGTAATGTTGTACATGCAGATAAAAGATAGTTATCATGTATATGGGGTGTAAATTGATTATGGAGTATGAAAATATACTATGAGGCATATATGAGCCGAGGAGGGAGGGAAAAGATCGATGAATATACGGGAATTGGATCATTTACATAGAGATACTTATTTCATAATAATTTATCTAAGAAATGCCATTTCAAATAACCCTTCTTGATAAACTGACAACAACTGACAAATTTGTTAAAGTTTAATTTCATTTTCTCTTTCAAGCTTTTACGTTTTTCCATCTTAGGGAAATACACATCCGATGTCAAATTATAAAGTTAGAACAACGAAAATAGACCTCCGCTTTCCATTGGTCGGTGGGAATAACTTGTGCGTCGGAAACGCCCGAGTGGTGTCCCGATGGATAAAGATAATGACGAAGCAACGCCGCGGCCGCCTGATTGGCCAATATTTTTAAACGTGATTTATTTTTGGTAAAATGGGGAATTCAGTGCAAACAATTGACGAAATATACGCATTGAAGGGGGGTTAAGACCACTTTACTCGACCGTGCGGTGTTATCACTGAGTAATCTATGGACAAAACCACAGACACTATTGATTTTGTGAAATTTTAATCATATAACACTTTTTTTTTCACTTGCCGGATCGGACAACCAAGATGATGTTTTTACTTGTCCGAATACGGCATTAGTTTGCTCAGGGCAATCGGACAACCGTAAGTGTCGGACCCTGGAGCAAAGAAGACATGAGAAATTCAAGAAAAGAAGATAGTATGACTTTTTTACTTGTGTAAGTAAAAAAATCTGAATGTCTAAGGGACATAACTAAGCCATTAAAATATTTTACCAATACAAGTTAATAAAATTCACTTGTATAAGTATCTTACAAATTTACTTATATAAGTATATTAATATTTACTTCTTCAAGTAAATAAAAATAACTTGTACAAGTAGTACCCCTGACTGACTGAAATGTCTCGCCTGCTTTAGTGACCATGATTGATTTTATTTTGAAAGTCTTATGGATAAAATAAAAATCAAAGGTTTTGATATCATCAACAATTTTGTAAGTTAATCAACTATGTTTAGTACAGTAGACTCCACCTAATCGGATATCGGCTAAACGAATATATCGGCTTTTGTAATATTATTTCAAAACACCAAACCCTTCCCTATATGTTTAATGTTAATTCTATCGTGTAATCGAATATCAGATATAAGAATATATCGGCAAATCGGATAAGAATATTCAGGTCATTTTGTTCAAAACCATGCACAATCGGATATTTTCAATGTTTTTCTGACAGGAAATGGACCCGGAAGTTACGAATTTACAATCTTGCAGACAAGAAGATTTTGTTTTTACTAAATAAAAGGAACTATTTCTGAATAAATTGTTGTCTTTAATCATTGTCTTCCTTTGTCATGTGAATTAGATGCCCTTTTACTTCAAATGGTTTGAATTTATTTATAAAATATGCAAGACTCAGTTGACAAGTTGACGTTGCTGTTTGGAGAATTTTGATTAAACTCTAAATGTTCACAGAATCAGAAATATAATCTAAACTGAATGTACCTCCTTCAGAATAATTTATTGCAATATAAATATAAATCCCTTTTGACAAGAGAAATCTGACTTTTGTCAGATATATTTTTTTCACATGTGCAAAAGTAACCACATGTCATGGACGCCATTTTGGATGTTTACAAATTTGTGAGGAAGCCTCTAGAACTATGACCTAAATATAAATAGTCTTCAGAAAACGTAAACTTTATGCAATAATATTTTATCAATCATGATTATTTTCATAAATTTAAATTTGATTATTTAAAGAAACAAAATTATAACAAATACGATTTTAGTTTGGAGATTCTACACAGACATGCTTAGATCTATTTATAGCCAAATTAGTTTACCTGTGTGATAATGTAAATAATGGATATTAATTTGCTTACAAAACAAATAAAGACAAACTATGGATGGTAGATAATAATTCACATAAATATTTCAGGACATTTGATTTATTTTAATAAATAAAGGATTTAAAATCTGCAAACAAATTTAATCATTACATAATCAGCTGATAATTTTTTTACACAAACATATTTAGCAATTGTCAGGGTTAGTAACATCTCAGGATTATATCTACTCATTATTGCAGAATATTCAATGAATATACATTCATCGTCTAATTGAATATATCGGGTAATCGGATATTTTTAGCTGACATTTTGGGTATCCGATTTGCCGGAGTCTACTGTATTATTATCCACTTACCACATGTTTGACAATGTTTCCATACTGAGAAAACTGTTGAAGTATAAAGGAAGCTGCTGCTGGTGGAAAACTGAAAGGAAAATTATATCTCCCTGTTAAACCTCTCTAGTCATTATAACTTAGAGAACAGATATTTAAATGTACTTTTAAACAACATGTACAAAAGAGGATTCTGCTGCTGTCAGAATACAGAAACAATAAATTGTCTCCCCCTGTTTAACCTCTCTTATCACTAAAAGAACAGATATTTTAATAACTCGAATAATTCAAGCCCTTTCCGTGTCCGATTTTCTCCCACACGAGGGCTTGAACTCCTTATGATCATTAGCCGCGTCGTCTGCTCTCTGTGAGAGAGAGCCAATCAGCGGCGATCAGGATAATGAGTCTGCGCAACTGTCTTGTAATTGCCTTACTAAACACGTGTGTTCAATTAACACAAATCCGATAATAATTAATTAACATCAATTTACATCAGTTTACATCATTTAACATCAATTAACATCCGGAACTCCTCCTTCTTTAGCTGCCAACTTAAATCAAAATTCCCATATTGCATAGCGGTGTGAATTTCCTGTTGACGGTCTTTATCGAGGAAGACGTTCAGGCGTTAATGTAGCCTTCGTAGATCAGCGGAATATAACGACTGAATTATTCGGGTTAATATTTTAAAAGTACTTTTATACAAGAGAATTCTGTTACTATCAATACACTAAAAGAGACAAATTATCTCCCCTGATATTCCTTTCTTACACAAAGATACCAATTTACAACCAAAAATTCAGATATTCAAAACATACTTTAAATTCATTATCAATATTTTTTGTTAATTTAATTTGCCAAATAACCTTCACAATTTACTTGATGGTAGCGAACGCTCCTCGACAACAACACAGAAAAAGAGAATAAAAACAAAGAATGGTTAGCTTGAAGTGACAACAATTTGTCAAATAGAATCAAATATGATCATGTGAACTGTCACTTCGTGACCTAGCATGCTGTAAATTGACTCGTTGACAGACAGGAAGGCAAAGCAGTGTTTTGTATCAGATTTACCCTCCTGAACCTTTTTTATGATGAAATACAAAAAGTTGGAAGATTTTTAGCTAAAAATATCCCCATAATATCAGAAAATTGCAAGCTATTCATTGGAGTATTAATAATGTAACATACCCAAAAACTGTAATCCAGGTTTCATCTAAAATATCATCTGATGTCAAACTTTCCCTGTAAAACAAATAAATATCAAAATTACTTTTCATGTATATGGCTTGTGTAGTTAAAACATCTGAAGCAGGATCCGTCATAGAAATTTTCTGATATTTCAGGAAATATTACCTCAGGCCATTTGATTTTATATACCATAATGTATGGTTACAAAATTGAATTTGATGAAAAAAACTTAATTCTGAAAAATAAAAATCATTTATTGATAATGAAGTGCAGGAACTTTAGAGTAAAAGGAGTATTGTAAAATCTTTTGATGAATCTGATTTAGTATATGTCAAGTTTGTTTTTTGGTACGAAAGAAAAATGGCAAAGGAGAAGGTCCAGTAAGGGCTAATTTTGGCCTAAAATTTGATGTACATCTGATATAAGATTTATGACATTTTTTTTATCACTTAAGTGTCTATCTACTTCAGTTGATTCAATTAGTTTGTGTAAAAGATTTGTGGCCACATTCGTGTTCAGTTTCAACCTTTTTAAACGTTATGTATTATCATCAAATACAACATATATTTACAGTGCAGCCACTTCAATTTTAAACAAAAAACGACTAAAAATTAGCACAAATGCTACAATTGTGAAGATTTCAGTAATTTTGCATGAATAAATGATGCTAGTACCTGATGCATGTGCATTGTATTGTCAAAAGACAGCCCATATTTATGTAACAAAAGTATTCTACTTTCCAATAAATAGCTAAAAGTTTCCTAATTTTTAATAAAATGCTCCGCTGGGCGCAGCTTGAAATGACCGCAGAGGTCGAACCCTGAACAGTTGGGGCAAGTATGGACACAACATTCAAGCTTGATACAGCACTGAATTTGGATTGTGATTAAATATTTGACACAGCATAGGTTTCTGACACAGAATGAATGTTGTCTAAGAACTTAAAAATTTTTAATTTACCTATTCAAATCATATCATTATTATTTGTTTTTATATATAAATCAGAAATAACCAATTTAAAATGGAAAATTTTAAAGAAAATACAAGGAAAAAAAGGAAAAAAAAATCCCTCCCCCAAATTTTTTTAACCCCCTTAAGATTCATCACCCCCAAACTCAATCCCAGCCTTCCCTTTGTGGTATGGTACATTGCAGTACAATTTCGGAGAGATCCATACACTTGAACACAAGTTATTGTCTGGAAACTAGAAAAAAGCTTGTTTTTAGGCCCCTTTTTGGTCCCAAATTCCTAAACGTTTAGGGCAATTTACCCCAAACTCAAACCCAGCTTTCCCTTTATGATATGGAACCTTGGAGTACAATTTCATAAAGATCCATACACTTACACACAAGTTATTGTCCTGAAACTAGAAAAATGCTTGTTTTTTGCCTCTTTTTTGCCCCTAATTCCTAAAATTTTGAGGCAATTACCCCCAAAATCAATCCCAGCCTTCCCTTTGTGGTATAGTACCTTGCAGTACAATTTCAGAGAGATCTATACACTTGAACTCAAGTTATTGTCTGGAAACTAGAAAAATGCTTATTTTTGGCCCCTTTTTGGCCCCTTATTCCTAAATGTTTTGGGCAATTACCCCCAAACTCAATTCCAGCTTTCCCTTTGTGATATGGAACCTTGTAGTACAATTTCATAAAGATCCATACACTTACACACAAGTTATTGTCCTGAAACTAGAAAAATGCTTGTTTTTGCCCATTTTTGGCCCCTAATTCCTAAAATTTTGAGGCAATTACCCCCAAAATCAATCCCAGCATTCCCTTTGTGATATGGAACCTTGTGGTACAATGTCAGAGAGATCCATACACTAACACACAGGTTATGTCTGGAAGTTACAAAAATGCTTATTTTTGGCCCCCAATTTCTTAAATGTTGGTACCATAACCCCCAAAATCAATCCCAACCTTCCGTTTGTGGTATTGAACCTTACGGTAAAATTTCATAGAGATCCATTCACTTAAACTAAAGTTAGAGTGCGAAAACTCATGTGTCTTCGGACGACAACGACGACGCCAACGCAGGGCTTCCAAAACGGTCATATATTCCGGACTTGACCGAAACTTTCATAAAAAGACCGGCTGCTCTCAGCCTCAAACGGTCAAATAGAATTGGTGTGCCACATTTTGTTATTCAAGGCATTTTCATGAAACGGTCATTTCAATTTTTACCAACTATCGATCGATAAAAATGTCCGTTTGGGGCTTTGGGCATGTCCGTTTGGGCATTTTAGTTTATAATTGTGGCAATCTATTTCACAAAGATATTTCGGTCATAATTGGGTTTAATAAAACAGAAGCAGCATATTTCAGATACTTTGAAGTGTCTCAGTTAGTCTAATCCTCTGGGTACATAAATGTACGGCTTGGTCTTTAGCTTGTGTACATCAATAAAAAGTAGAAAAAACACGTTTTCTTTTATTTAAATAATAACAAGCTGTCAAACAATTATCCCTTCAATAAGTTATATTGAAGCCATAAATCATTCACTGATTACAGGTTTGTTACCTTTGATGAGGTGTCCTTAGCTTATCTTTATCAATAGAATTAATGATGCATAACAATGTACATAAAGGTAATCCGGTAAACGAGGTCAAACATGTAAGCGTGTATGGAACAACATCCTATTTAATTACGCTTTATAGATATTATTTTAAATGAGCATTCAGTTTTAAAAGTATCCTGATATTTAAAAGTTATTCTTCAAATAAGGATATTTATAAATGAATAAGTATGATATATATTATTTTATTTAACACTGTACATCGTGTTAAATACTGGGGTACTCTCAAGGGGAAAATTTACTAAAATATATAGGAAAAACCAATGGACAAATTTCAGTCAATAAATGATTTAACTAAGTTAAATAGTGCCGTGATCACTTCTAAATTATATCAAGAGAACAATGCCTGCTCCGAATTTATTCAGACAATTTCCGATGTTATAGAGAAAGAGGTGATGTCCGACGTAAAGTTAAGTCCCGCCGTGGGAATTATGATCGACTAAGGTGTAGTCTAGGTATTGACGCTTTAGATCAACTTATGAGGATAAGCTTAGTAGGTGTAGATGTTAAAGACTTTGACCCTGTTCCTGCTATCCGCAAATGGCAATCCGTTTGTAACCGCCATGTTTATCAGAACAATGCATTTAGCAAGCTCATGAATGTAAAATCTTTAATTAGACTAAATGAACTCTAATCTTGTGCTGTGATCTCTGCTTCTTTTCAATGTGCTCATTGTAATATTTATTGCGTGTGTTTTTCAGCATTGTGCTCTTCTGACATTTTATTGTTGTTATATGCTTACATAAAATATCATGTTGTTATTCATTAAATTATTTATCAACTGAGTATGTTTTTATTTATTCCTTATTTTCTAAATCAGGTTGGGAAATTGTACAAAGAAAAATGTTATCACTGTTCAGTAGATTTTACACGGTTTAAAACAATATCCTTCATCGGGCCTCCTCAATGTTATCTATAAATACCGCATCAGTTGTAAAAGTCACGTGGTCAGGTAATCAATACACAAAAAGAAAAGTATCACGTGTATTGATGATCAAGTTGTACTGCAATTAAAGCCAACATCAACAGTTTCAAATAAGATGGCCTTAATTTACAAAGTGTTAAGTACTCACAGAGAGAAGATAGATTATATAAACAGAAACAAAAACATGAGAACAGTCAGGTACTGAAGCTGATTGATGCAATGATGGTTACTGTATTACGATACACAGAAAAATGACACAATACCTAGGATAATATTTTATTTATTTTTAGAATGAAGAAAACAAAACAGTTATAAATAATTTTATTGCATATAACACTACTAATTATTTAGACACATATATCAATTTATGCATCCTCTCAGTTACATTTAAGTATCCAGCTGATCATTGACCGTCAAAAATATTTCTTTCAAAAATGTCCGGCTGTCGTCAGGAAATTTTGGAAGCCCTGCGCCAACGTCATACCAATATACGACCGCAAAATTTTTTGGCAGTCGTATAAAAATTGGTAAAAATTTTATATTTTGGGGTCTTACCAGGCCTACTCCTTTAAACCAGTGATAAATTTGAAGAATTTGAATCGTTTTATACATTTTTCAGGCAAGAAATTTTGCAGTCAGTTCTTGCTGCAACAACATGGAATTATTCCTATACCAGTACCAGTATAGACCTGTGTGATGCTTATTTCTCTCTTGGTATAAGAAACTCTGATAGAAAATATTCATAAGTTTTGGTGAGGAAATATTTTATATGAATTTAAATGTTTTGTATTTTTTTTGTATTTGGATTGAGTTTAGTTTAAACATATTTTATTTGCATAAATACAAATTGGATAAGACACAAGTCAAAAAGACTTATATACATGTATGAAGTTTTTTTTCATTTAATGTATTTAACAATACAATATATAAGAGCATGCATACATTAAATGTTATTTTAACATTTGTATATACAGTATTAGACAGAAAATCAAAGAGGCAGAAAAGAAGAAGATACATATGACCGATTGCAATATTTGTGGCTAAGTTCCAAAGTCTGGCAAAATAAAACATTTCTCAAATAATTCCATAACAGCAGATGCACAACTTTTACATATGTTTTAGGGGTCTGGGTTGAAAACAATAGTCATTGATTACACAAATTAGGTACTCACTTTTCCCCACTTGTCCATCCGCCAGACATCACCTTAGTAATGTTAGTATTTGCATAGGTAAATAAAAACAATGATGAGAATCTTCTTGATATACAATGCAGTGATGAGATGGTTAATATAGGATTAAACACATTTTTTCTAGAGGTTATTGATGTGTAAACCGGGGCGATTAACTCACAAACTGAATAAAAGTCCGAAGGACTTTTATGTTAAGTTTGTGAGTAAGAGCCCCGGTTTACACATCAATAACCTCTAGAAAAAACATGTTTAATCCTTATAATTCTTCAGTCAAACATTCGCGATTTTTAGTTAAGATTTTTTGTTTGATGGCTACTACCATCAAATGCACATGTCATAACTAAGGATTTAGCCGCCATATTGAATTTCTAAAATCCGTAAATATTCGATAAATGCAACAGAATCTAAAATGAAATAGCACCTACCTCAAAAACTGCATTTTAATGAGATATTATCCGAATTTAAAGCGTACAAGTAACGAAATAATCTTTCGCTTGAAAGTTTTCATTTGTATGACGTCGTGTTTTGCCATGACGTAAATGCGCTAAATCATTCATGAAATTTCGCAGAATTTTTCATGAATTTTAATTTTATGCATTTTCAAAGCTTTAATGTAATGTTTTTTTGGTTACATATGCATTAAAATAGAAAAAAAAACTGTTATGTTTTTGTTTTTCAATCTCAATTTGCTGAAAATCCCGGACTCCCTGCATATGCATGTGTATCGCACATGAATAGATGGTACGAAAGTAGTTTCGGAAACATGGTTTATCGAAGTGTAAACCAAGGTAAAAAATTCTAATTGACCAATCCGTTTCAAGTATTTATAGACATGCAAATCATATAAGAATTATGAAATAATATTTACTCTATAAAGATCATAATTTAAGAAAGAAGCATATTTAGTTATGGACTTCCTAACTCATATTGTTTCAGCATCTGTTTTTTACTATTGGGATTTTAAGTTTTTTAGTTTCATTTAAAATTTTCCTATTGCATTTGAATCCATCCGAGTAGGTTAACTTACCCCTCAGTATAGAATAGATCCATCTGAGCAGGTTAACTTACCCTTGAGTATAGAATGGATCCATCTGAGCAGGAGATGGAGGTAGCTTAGTATTTGCTGCCAAATGGAATTGTGACGTGTCATTTATATTTTCCATAATACTGGATGAAAGACCTGAAATTAAAATTATCCTCAATATGTTTAGTTCATTAATATAAGAAAAAAAAACTCATTCCTGTAGTCCTGACTTTACTTCTGTTTCAAGGCAACCTGATTTTTTGTACATTTCGGATAAGCACAAAAATTCATCAACACGATCTTTAAACAAAATCTAAATTAAAATTTGCTGACCTATTAACCTTTATTTTGATCCTACTGTAACAAACAATATTTTTTCCATAAGACTTGGAGAAAACCTTATTAATTTATTTATTTCACATTTTTGATGCTAAATGTTCTATCATGTTTGAATACATGATAAACAAACTTTTAACTTCACTTAAAGAGGGAAGGTCATTTTAACAATACAATAAAAGAATTTGATAGAACATGCTGCTTTAAATAAATATATACCTGATATAGGAGGGGCACAAGCACTTGTCCCAGGTGTATGAAATCCTCGTGAAGGTGTCTGAAAAAGAAGTAGCAATACGTCAAATCATGTACAGAATCAGCATGGAATTATCTAATATTAGAAAACTCATTATCTTGATTGTATTAATACACCAGGTTTTGTATTAATTTATAATAAGAACAAGGAATTCCATCAGAATATTATATTATACATGTATATATGCTTTATATGTGTCTATCCCAAGTCAGGAGCCTGTAATTCTGTGGTTGTTGGTTCATGCCCGTTATATTTTTTTTGTAAATTGTATTGTAATAAATCAGGCTATAAGTTTTCCCATTTTAATTGTTTCATATTTTTCATGTTGGGGCCTTTTATAGCTGACCATATGGTATGGGTTTTTCTAATTGTTGAAGGCCAATTGAACTCTGGTGGATAGTTGTCTCATTGGCAATATTTCAACATTTCCTTATTATCATATTAAGTCAGTAAGAAATGTTTTATCAATTTTTCATGGAATCTGAAATTCTACAATGAGAATTTTACCGATAAATCTTATAGTGTACAAACTCTAAAATCAGGAAATATCATTACATCAGATTGTGTGTAGAACCTTAATTCAGTATGGAGAATTGTATCCATACTCTTGATTCTGCGGTGAATCGTAAGATTAAAAGAAAAAAAATCGTAAGGGTTCCGCCTACTTTTGCTGCTAGTCACAGGCTCAACAAAAATGGGGAAAAAATTATTAAAATTTTTTTATATATACTTGCTTTTGATTGTAAGAAGCTTCTGTCCAAGTTTGGTAAAAATCCAGAATGGTTTATGAATCTAATGAATGTTTTAAAAACTTTAACTACAGACTGTATGTAATGTTAATTGGCAGAAAAACTAAGTCCATTTATAAGTAATATACGGAAAAACAGGAAATATATTATTACAAAATTTCCTTCTAGATACTAGCTTTTGATCATAAACAAGCTTCTGTCCAAGTTTGGTACAAATCCAGGATAGTTTAAGAAACTTATTAAAATTTTAAAAACTTTAACCACAGAGTGAATGTAATGTTAACTGGCAGAAAAACTAAGTCTATTTATAAGTAAAATATGGAAAAACAGAAATTTTTTTTACAAAATTTACTTCTGGATACTATCTTATGATCATAAACAAGCTTCTGTCCAAGTTTGTCAGAAATCCAGGATAGTTTAAGAAAGTTATTAAAATTTCAAAAACTTTAACCACAGAGTGAATATTTGTGGACGCCGCCGACGACGGAATGTAGGATAGTTATGTCTCGCTTTTGAGACGAAAGTCGCAGGCTCGACAAAAATGAGCAAACCAGAAAAATTCTGTTTAGGCATGTTTTGACCTCCCAAAACTTGAGAAATTAAGGGGTTGTAAAAAAAATTACTTGTATAAGTAAATTTTCGGAGATTTGGGGGAGAAAATTCAAACCTTGAAAATAAAAAAATGCGTAAGGGTTCCACGGAACCCAGTGTCTCGCCTACTTTTTCTGTTAATCGCAGGCTCAACAAAAATGAGGAAGTTAATCAATAAAAATATTCCTCTTGATACTATCTTTTGATTGTAAGAAGCTTCTGTCCAAGTTTGGTAAAAATCCAGGATAGTTTATGAATCTAATAAATGTTTAAAAACTTTAACTGCAGACTGAATGTAATGTTAACTGGAAGAAAACAAAATTTCCTTCTAGATACTAGCATTTGATCATAAACAAGTTTCTTTCCAAGTTTGGTACAAATCCAAAATAGTATAAGAAAGTTATTAAAATTTTAAAAACTTTAACCACAGAGTGAATGTGTTGTTTCCTGGCAGAAAATCTAAGTCCATTTAAAAGTAAAATACGGAAAAAATGGATTTATTTTTTTATAAAATTTCCTTCTAGATACTAGCTTTTGATCATAAACAAGCTTCTGTCCAAGTTTGGTACAAATCCAAAATAGTATAAGAAAGTTATTAAAATTTTAAAAACTTTAACCACAGAGTGAATGTGTTGTTTCCTGGCAGAAAATCTAAGTCCATTTAAAAGTAAAATAAGGAAAAAATGGATTTTTTTTTTTACAAAATTTACTTCTGGATACTCTTATGATCATAAACAAGCTTCTGTCCAAGTTTGGTAGAAACCCAGGTTAGTTTAAGAAAGTTATTAAAATTTTAAAAACTTTTAACCACAGAGTGAATGTAATATTTCCCGGCAGAAAAACTAGGATCGCTATGTCTCGCTTATTCGACTAAAGTCGAAGGCTCGACAATAAAAATCTTTCAAATTTACTTAAACAAGTTAATATTACTTACATCTTCAAGTAAATCAAAATGACTAGTATAAGTATTACCCCTGACTGTTGTTTATGGAATTTAAAATTCCAAAAAGGAGGATTGTATCAATGTATCTTATTTTGTACCAAATTCAAATGAGAGGAGTATACCGTAATTGTACATTGGATTCTGGTCTGAAACTTCATATTCTGCAATTGTTTTCTTTGGCATGTCAAAAATGTGTTCAATGTTCATGAAACTACAAAACAGAAACCTTGCCCGTGGTGGTCCTTTTGTAATCTCTTAAAACAAGAATATGTCCATAGTACACAGATGCCCCACCTCGCACTATCATTTTCTATGTTCAGTGTATCGTGAAATTGGGGTCAAAACTCTAATTTGGCATTAAAATTAGAAAGATTATATCATAGTGAACATGTGTACTAAGTTTCAAATTGATTGGACTTCAACTTCATCAAAAACTACCTTGACCAAAAACTTTAACCTGAAGAGGGACAGACGGACGGACACACAGACCAAAAAACATAAAAATGCCTCTAGGTGGGGCAAAAAAATTTAAATAATGTCCTTAAGAACTCCTGAGTTTTGATTGAAGATCTTTGATAATCTCTGTTGAATTCATTCTCAATATTTCTTACTTGGGATGTTTTACGACTTCGACATTTTGTCTATTGTTGAAGACCTTACAGGATTTCAAGATGTCTTTTTATTATTTATGTCTTGGGTTGCTGCTTCCTTGAAGTTAACCCCATACTTCCTGTTATTGATATTAATTACCTGATGGAATGAAGCTGTAAATGGACTAGCTGTGGATGGACTGCTATAGGACATCAAACTCTTTGTTGGTGGCGCCCCAGGTCTTTCTTTTGGTCTGATTGTTTCTCTACAATTATCATATTAATAGATTGATTCATGGAGTTAAATGGTACTTTCTACTCATTCAAGTCTAATATGTCTATTCTTTTTGTTGTACAGTTGCTGTCTCATTGATTTTGACCTCAGTCTATGATGATGGTTGGATGATGAACATTTAGTGGTGAGTTAAATGCATATTCAGGTGGACAACATGATGATGTGATATGAATATGAACCCTGGCTTGTACTAGACTGACATGCAGAGCCAGATTTTTAACGTGCTAGTTCATAGGTAGCATTATTCCGACTGACACATAATTGGAATAGTCTTGTACGAGATTGTAATGTTCAGTTGAGTATCATACATTTCTTTACTCTATGGTATGTTTCTGTAAAGGGGTGTGTCCTTATTATTCATACCTACATAGTTTTATTTACAAGTATTGTTTAGGTCCAAAATTTGACAAAGATGAAACAAGGTGAAGTCAGGAGGAGAATATTTTTTAGCAGGCTATAGCAAACAGCTGAAGAAAAGTAATAAAATCTCTGTTCCTTTACTCTTTTTACAACACGTTCAAGTGAACATGCAGATTGTGGGTCACAAACTTTCTTTTTCAATTTAACACCTATAAGTATCCCTTGGTCACGCAGCAGTGCATATCAAGAAATAAGACCAAAAAATACAGTTTCCCCGTATTCATCTCATTGGTGACTTTATCAGATTAGGACTTGTCTGCCGTGGTCTTTCTGATATTATACAACTGGAACTTATCATGCTAACGGTTACTTTATTATACTGGGATAATATCTAGCCTTACCTGGGTCATGATGTTATACAGCTGGTACCTAATGGTTATATTACCAGACTGGGATAAAGTCTAGTCTTACCTGGGTCCTGGTGAGGTGATATAACTGGTACTCAATGGTGAAGTTATGTTGCTACTTCTGTGTGATGACTTAGGTGGACTTGGGCTAGTAACTGCTGACCATAAACGTGTACTGGGCTGTAAATGAAAGTATACACAATAATGTTATATTCATTCACAAATTGAATACTCATATTGTTCAGTACAATATATATTAGTTCTCTTGTAAAAGGTTTAACAATATTGGGCTCATCTTCTCCTTTCCTCATCTGTGATTTATACAAAAAATATGACTTATTACCTCTGTGACCATTTCCTTGGAAAGTAACTCAACTTGATTTTGTTAAGAATTAGAGTGGGTGTGTTACTGATTTGGAATCTTATAACATTTTTAACTGTCTTGACTTTGTTCTCAGCTTTCTAAAATTTGGATATAAGATCTTATTCAAGAGACACTCATTGTTTTACAGAAAATAAGTACATAAACCGGTCCTTTTCAATATAACCCTGAAACATAAAACAACAAAAGTCTAGTTTCATTTGTCCCTTTGTTTAATTTTCAAAGATACAATTTATACAGGTAAAGAACAGAATGATAAATGGAATAAAAATTGTTGATTTTACAGAACCATTTTGATGAGTTATAAGCACTTTTCAACAAATTTTTAGTTTGTTCTTATATAATTATGTTGTACAATTACACCATTGCCCTAGATTAGGGAAAAGGATTGGCGTCAGCAAACTAGTTTAATCCCGCCACATTCTGTATGTGCCTGTCCCCAAGTCAGGAGCCTGTAATTCAGTGGTTGTCATTTGTTGCTGTATATCATATTTGTTTTTCGTTCACTGTTTTGTACATAAATCGAGCAGTTAGCTTTCTCATTTAAGGGATGATAGATTTATTCTTACAACCAAGCTCCTAGCATGCTCAGAGGATGCTCGGAGCTTTTTAAGTAGGCTCTTCTCAGCAGTTTATGTGACAATAATTATCATGATCCATTAAGATGTCAATCAAATCTACACCACTTCTATGATAAGGAAAGTAGAGCATTATAGAGGAAGCTCCATAAACACCTGTGTAAACATCTGGTCTATTCAAATACATTTTGCATGAAATTTTACAAAACTATAAAATAGATTAGAAATTCTTCAACAGTGCTGTGTAATGCTTGGAAATAAATCTCAAGTCTCCACAAAAAGAAAAGTCATTTAAATATTTTCTTATTATATTTAAAAATCATTCCTTTTTTTATAATAAAAAAATTCTCAAATTTTAAAATTAGATGATATGATTTAAAAATAGTTTATATTATATGATATGCTACAAAAAAGTTAACAAGACACAAACAACAGTCAGGTGGCGATACTAAACTTATTTTTTTTAGTAACTTTTATAAGTATTTTTTGTTTTTAATAAACTATTAACACAGAGATATGTCTCGCCTATTTGTTATTTTGATAATGCAAATGTTGAAAATATTCAAAGTCAATGAACCATGACTGAAGGTACAGGACTAAACAATCTCCATGGAAATGAGATGTGCCAATGCTAATACAACTGCAAACCAAATACCATTGACTTTTCATAAGTCGTTCCCTTTAAACAAACCTAAACACAAACATAAACTTGTAAACTATGTAAAAGTTTCAAAGTCAATGAACCATAATTAGGGGGTGGGGTTATATAATCTCCATGGAAATGAAACTTACAAATGCCAATACATTTGCATACCGAATATCATTGACTTAACATAAGTGGTTCTCTTAAACTGACCTAATCACAAACCAATACATGTAAACTAAGCAAAAGTTTCAAAGTCAATAGACCATGACTGAGGGGTAAGGATCAAATATTCTCCATGGAAATGATATGTGCTAATGCTTATACAACTGCATACCAATTATCATTGACCTACCACTAACAGTTACCCTTAAACTGACCTAATCACAAACTAATACATGAAAACTAAGCAAAAGTTTCAAAGTCAATAGACCATGAATGAGGGGGCGGGGCCAAATAATCTCCATGGAAATGAGATATGCCAATGCTTATACAACTGCATACCAAATATCATTGACCTACCACTAACAGTTACCCTTAAACTGACCTAATCACAAACTAATACATGAAAACTAAGCAAAAGTTTCAAAGTCAATAGACCATGAATGAGGGGGCGGGGCCAAATAATCTCCATGGAAATGAGATATGCCAATGCTTATACAACTGCATACCAAATATCATTGACCTACCACTAGCGGTTCCCCATAAACAGACCTAATCACAAATTAATACATGTAAACTAAGCAAAGTTTCAAAGTCAATAGACCTTGACTGAGGGGGCAGGGCTAAATAATCTCCATGGTAATGGGATGTGCCAATGTTAATACAACTGCATACCAAATATCATTGAACTACCACTAGTGGTTCCCCATAAACTGACCTAATCACAAACTAGTACATGTAAACTAAGCAAAGTTTCAAAGTCAATAGACCTTGACTGAGGGGGCGGGGCCAAATAATCTCCATGGTAATGAGATGTGCCAATGCTAATACAACTGCATACCAAATATCATTGACCTACCACTAGTGGTTTACCATGAACTAGACCTAATCACAAACTAATACATTGTTGATGCTGCCGCCGACGCCGGAAACAGCATACCTATGTCTCGCTTTTTGACTCTGTCAAGGCGAGACAAAAACTATTTAATTACTCAATAGTTATTTTAAATGTCAAATAAAGCATGGACTAAATGTAGTTTTTAAGAATTTTTATATCATTTCATTAAATAAAATTAAGTATTTATCCAATTTTAGATGAGTATAGAGAGGTTACTTTAAAAAATAATGACAAAAATATTACTTTTATAAATTATTTTATACAACTTCAAAAAACTTAGTACTTACAAATATTTAAGGAATATATGTAATTGCTTTTGATTAAGATTCAAATTATAAATAAATTCAAGTCTTAATTAAAGGTTCCATATCTAGTTATAACTGTCTATCTCTAAGATTTTAAGGGGAAATGATATTTTAATAGCCCCAAGAGGCCAATCTTTGACCAAGAAGTGTGGCATCAGAAAAGCAATAAGTGCTTGTTGAGGATTTAAATAGTTTTACCAGTATATTTCATGGGGAAAATAACCAGATGTCTGTGAAAATTTGTTAAAGCTTATAAAACCTGTATGAATGGACACCTATAAAAATAATATTAACAGAAGTTACTCATGATATAGAAGTAATATTTCAAACAGCCTCTTTTTCAACATAACTTGTATAGGTAATTTTGAAAATTACTTGTTTAAGTAATGCCCCAAACTAAACAATGGTAATATGTTTTTTTTAAATACTAGCAAACTAAGTTCATTTATAGAAAATTATGGCTACTTTAAGAAAAGTTGTAATTCATTAGTGGAAGCCTGGTTTGAGGGGGTAATACCACCATTGTTTTCCCTCTAGTACGTCTCTCTTTACTTGGCATTTTTTTTTAATTGTGCAGATTTAGCTTTGTTTTAAATAAAGAAATACTTGGCATGAGTAAAATTATTTTCCCCCTATAAGTCTTTGTCATGATTGTTATATTTCAAAAAAAATGTGCAGAATTTATCTATGTTTTAAATAAAGAAATACTTGACATAAATAAATGTCCTGTACTACAGTGAAAATATAGCATAACTTGTCAGTGTATAAAAGAAAGTAAACATCACCAGAAGTTTACCAATCAAATTCTCTCCCCCTTTTTTCCCTGTAGAATATAGTATATTTTTATTGCTTTGAAACACCCAAGAAACATGTTTACAACTTAAAAAAACTTTTCTGCAATGAAATGGAGGGTTAATTTCAAACAACTGTCAAATTAAATGAAATATAAAAAAAGATCCACCCTTTTTCACATGAAACTGAATGTACTATGTTTTGGTAGTATGGTTATAAATCAATAACAATAGTTTGTGTCTTTGATGACTTTTATATTTCATTTTATATAGTATAAATTTAAAATATATTTATATTTCAAATATAAAATTTGAGTGTTTTTTTGTATCATGTGTATTGAAAAAGAATGATAATTATTAAGAAAATGTTTTAAAATCATTTTCTTTCTGTGAAGACTTGATACCAAGCATTACACATGTACAGTAATATTGAAGAATTTCTCATCTATTTTATAGTTTTGTAAAATTAATGCAAGATTTGTTTGAATAGACCAGATGTTTACACAGGTGTTAATGGAGCTTCCTCTATAATGCTCTACTTTCCTTATTATAAAAGTGCTATAGATTTGATTGACATCTTAATGGATCATGATAATTATTGTCACATAAACTGCTGAGAAGAGCCTACTTAAAAAGCTCCGAGCATGCTGGGAGCTTCCTCGTAAGAATAAATCTATGATCCCTACATTGATTTACATTTGTCATTGTCCGGGCCTTTTATAGCTAATTATGGGGTATAAGTTTTGCTCATTGGTGAAGATTGTACAGTGACCTATAGTTGTTAACTTCTATGTCTGTTGGTCTCTGGTGGAGAGTTGTCTCATTGGCAATTATAACACATCTTCTTATTTTATATTGTAGTTTTAATTTGATTTTTACTGGCTATATATATATATCAAACCACATCCTAAAATCACATGTATGACAAATCATTTTTTTAAAAGACAACAACTAACAATGTAGTCTTGATTGTAGTTGTTTCTATGGAATCCAAAACCAAATTCTAGCCTAAACAATATCATGTATATGCTGACATTTAAATGCACTTTTATTATAACAAACGATCAGGTATAAGTTTTAGGCAAATCAAAGTTTTTTTTCTCAGAAAAAAATAGATCAGTGCCCAGTTGGAGGCACCTTGGCACACTTACAAAAGGAATTATGACACCCTGACAAAACTGAGTCAAGTAGACAGTCCTTTCCTGTGTATACATTTGACTAGTGGCACTAGTGCTCTCGCTAAGGAGTCAAAATCTACGTCTTTTTTTCGTTTAGTTACATGTTATTTATCATGTTAAAACAATATTTATTTGTCTATGTTTTTCGTAGTATTTTTGGTACTGGGTCATAACTTATACTACAGTAGGTAATCTGTAGAAAAGTGTCACTCTCTGTCATTTGTCTGTCTACTGACTGAACAACCCAAAATCTTTAGTAAGTTATCTATAGGTTGCAAAAAATAACTCCCACTGGAGGTCAAGGATGATGGTCGCATATTGATGTTACTGAAAACTGACTGGGCTTAGCCAAACATTCCCTTTTGTTTAGGGGCCAGTTAAAGCCCCGCATCCGGGTGAGGTATTTTCTCACTGCGTTGAAGACCCATTGGTGGCCTTCAGCTGTTTTCTGCACTTTGGTCAGGTTGTTGTCTCTTTGACACATTCCCCATTTCCATTCTCAATTTTAATCAATGTTTAATATCATGAACATAGGATATTTACTGATACAGCATGTTGTGAGGTTTCACCCAGAAGAAAACCTGGCAGGAACTGTGATTGGTGGGGGCTAGCTGGACTATTAGGAGATCCCATCATCATAGGACTGGATTCTCCTGCAAATATATATATATTGAAATGTAAAATGATAGAGGATAAATTATGTTAAATTTGTCTTTTTCTTAACGTCATAATAACTTATATTATTAAAGTGATCTTGAAATCACAACCCCTGACCAATTACCAGTAAGGACTAATACTTATACAAGTCATGTTTTTTACACTTAATATTTACATGTATAAGCAAATTTGTTTAGATTTTTAATTTTCTTCAAGTTTTGATTAAATTGAATAATCTCCCAAATACAAGTATATTTTTTTACGCCTTTTGTTTCTGAAGTTTTGGGAGATCAAAATACAACTTTACTAATTTTGTTTATGGTTTGTTTATATTTTTTTGAACTGTGGTTCAACCTTTGCTCTCAAAAACTCAGCACTGAAATCTACTATTAAAGCACAGGTACTAAAAGTAAATTTATGAGCAAGGCCTTCAAAAATTGCTCCCTGGACATGCTGGATGCTAGTAAATGAGCAGAATTTTGAAAACAAATGATATTTTCATTGTCCATGAAATACTATTATGAATAGTAAAGAACTACTAATGACAGACAAAAATAATTTACCTGTATAAGTAAATAAAACAACACTTGTTTAAATATTACCCTGACTGATTACTTTGTTTAAAATTTATAATTTTCTAGAACTTTGTTTAATGTTTCAGGTAAATGAATGGACAAATTGAAAGAGAGTTAACAGCAAGGCACAATTCAGTGAAATATACTCAAACGCTACTCTTTTCAATTCATATGTATAAGTAATCCTGGTTACAACTTTAAGCCCTGAATCAACATGATCAAGGACAGCTATAAAGTTAGTGGTGCTAAACTATTATTGTCAAATATTGTTTGAACAACAAGGATGTTGGAATTCTAATGAAATCTTCTTAGGTTCAGTCAGTTATTGCATGGCCTTTAGATCCTGAATTTTTGGGTTAAAATTCAATTGTACCATCCATGTACATGATGTATTTTCACAATAATGGCAATGCAAGCAATTACATGTACATCATGTACATGTTCTACAGGCACATACAAGTGTCTTTGAGTTTACAAGTAAAAAACTTGGTAAGGACAGAATCTAATCTAGATTTTGGAGAGGGAGAAGTGAAATTTCATTACAGTTTTCAGGGCCTAATCTAGGATTTTGGAGAGGGAGAAGTGACTTCTCCTTTCATGAGAGAGAAGGGAGAAGTGGTCAATTTCTTGGAGAAGTGAAATTCCATTAACGTTTCGGTTGCATAGTGTTTTCGTGCTTATCACTAAGGAAATTGTTTTAAATGCAAAAAAAAATATACTTGCAGTTTTTTTTATGTTATTGTACAAAATGTATATATAGAAAGTTCTTAATAAAAAGGTTTAGACAATATAGTTGTTATCTATTTATTGATACCATTTGTACTGTCAACTTGAATTTAAGTCTAAATAAAATTTGTTGCTTGGGACATGAGGGAGTAGCCTAGTAATATTATCATGATTTTGATGCATTAAATTCATGTGCATCTGCCTCATTTTTTTTTAAAAGTCCAGAAAAATATGACTCCCAGTTTACCTGATGAATTTCACAAGACTGGGAATTTAATTTATATCACCACTTGTCATTATTTTGTAAAACATTATTGAATGTCCAGCAGCCGGTTGTACGTAAGTGTCACAAGTCTAATGACTCATGAAGTCTTCAATAACCTAATGCATCATAAAGGCTTAATGAAGACTTAATGACCCATTAGGCTAATGCCACTTTCGTACAACCGGCTCAGGACATCATATATATATTATTTGTAAATTGAGATTCTCGTTAAAGATTGTAAGCCTATAAATAAAGTCCCCCATCAAAGATTAGCCCAGAAATTAAACTTTTATGGTATTAGGAATCAAAATTTAAATTGGATAAATGACTTTTTAGCTGACAGGCAACAGCAGGTACTATTAAATGGTGTTAAATCTTCAAAATTAGCTGTTGATTCTGGTGTCCCTCAGGGAACAGTTTTAGGCCCAACATTATTTTTACTCTTTATTAATGACCTACCCGAACATGTAACTTGCAATGCAAGACTTTTTGCAGATGACTGTTTATTGTATAGAAATGTTAATAATAGTTCTGATGCCAAATTACTTCAAAAAGATTTATCTAGTTTAGTACAATGGGAAGAGGACTGGCAAATGAATTTTAATCCTGAGAAGTGTTATGTTATTCATATTTCTAAAAAAAGTAAACCTTCCACTTTTGATTATATATTGCACAATCATGTTTTAGAAGCAGTAAAAGATAGTAAATATTTAGGCGTAACTATAAGCCATGATCTTGATTGGGGAACACATATAAACAATATTACCTGTAAGGCAAATAAAACCTTAGGTTTTCTTCGTAGGAACTTAAAAAACTGCACACGTAAGGTTAAAAACCTTACGTACACATCACTTGTCCGTCCAGTCGTCGAATACTCTTCCCCTGTATGGGATCCGTACAAAAAGCAACACATCACTCAGGTTGAGCAGGTACAGCGTAAGGCAGCCAGGTTTGTCTTCAATGATTATAAAGACAGATCACCTGGAGCAGTTTCAAATTTAATTAAATCATTGGAATGGGAAAATTTAGAAATAAGAAGGAAAAAAGCTAGATTAACTATGCTATATAAAATAAATTGGGGGTTAGTGGAAGTTCCTAAGGACAATTTAACAATATCTGATAGACGTACTAGGGGGAAACATAAATTTAGGCAAATATCAACAAATAAAGATTTCTATAAATTTTCTTTTTATCCTCGCACTATTTCGGACTGGAACTCACTACCTGAAGCAATAGGTATGTCTGACACCCTGGAATCCTTCAAAAGTGGCATATCCACTCTAACATTTGAAGGGGCCACAACAACTTAATAAACTACAAAGCCACTGTACATAGTGTATATATGTTATTGTTAATGTTTTTTCTTTGTCATATTATTTTTAAATTAAGTCCATATGTACATAGCACACAAGTTCCGGGAAGTTTTACACTCCTACCTAGGAGTCTACTCCCGTATTCGGAAGAAGAAGAAGAAATGAAGTTATCCCCGGCTTAGTATATTTCTGGGATTTTGATTGGTTAACGCACGTCGTTAAAAAAAAAATAGCCCCTGGGTGTTGCTAACCCATATACCTGGACGTTGCTACCCATTACAATGGGGAACATCAGGCGCGTTTTCCTTAGTTTCATGGTTGTTCCTTGTGAAATATCGAATTCTGTAGATTATCCATGATGTCTGTAATTAAATATTTAATCAACTAACGATTTTATCTTATTATGTTGATCATTTGCACTCATTTTAGTAAATGCATCACTTGGATGCCACATTGTCAATGAATGGGACTACTGACCTAGCTATGCAAATGACCCACGTTGACGTCACACTGTTTATGATATAACTCTCACAACATTGAGCGCCAAACTCGACCCATTCCCGTTTCTCTGTCTCTGGATTAAAAACGTCTTGTATTTGACTACCTGTAGGGTTCTACCAAAGGTAATACCCTACACCCCGTTAAAAATATGTCAAATTCCCAAATTTCAATAAAAGATTTTAAAAAAATGAAAAATACGTTGCTTTCACTTTACATTTTGTAGTTGAATTTCTCTCTAAAAATCGCAAGATTTAGACTAAGACCAGGGATAAATTCATTATCTACGTTCACATCCGTAGATATGGATATTTTAACACCCTTCAGTACCCTGTACACCCTTCGGCTTCTCCTCAGGGTGTACTTGGATACTTCAGGGTGTTAAAATATCCATATCTACAGATATGAACGTAGATAACTTATAATATCTGACAATCGCATATTAATTAACCAATAAAGAGCTAATTTCTATCATTTTTTAAAGATATCTTCCATATCAATGAAATGGTCGTGAAAAAAAATTCCACTGCTGAACAGCAAAAAAACTGTGCATTGTTGATTAACTAACATTAATGCTGAATATTCAATAAATATAGGATAAGGGATTCTACACTTCAAGAGGAATTACCAACTGAAGTGGTTCATCTGGAAAAGGTGGAAGGTACAGAAATTAAAGCCAATAAAGGTAACAGGTAACAGGTTGATTCAGCCACAAATTATGACAGTGCAGTAGTGATATCTGTTTATATTATAGCATATCAGAAATAAAAAAAGTCTTAGGTTTTTTTTTACCATAACCGTCAAAAGTATGACTCATCATTTCCTTTTAAAATAGCAATCAAAAGAATAAATAAAGTTATTTTCTTTTGAACTTTCAATTTTCGATCAGAAATCTGTGCGCATGCGGAAAAAATAAAATCTGACAAAATCATGTCGGTTTGGAGAAGCAATTTTATCCGGATTATTTTCTATGTATTTGTGATCATATGTCTGCCACGCCTTAACCACATCAGAGACATATACAAATATTTCTCTGACCACATGTATTCTATTTTCCTAGTTTGTTTTACCATGGAAGTATTATATTGACATATGACAATATAATACTTCCCATGCATAAACTAAGATTTATCAGGGACTTTCTATACTAACTTAGTATAGAAAGTCCATGGATTTATAATCTTACTCGTCGTATAGGAGGGGCGGACAGGGGGGTACCTTTCTCCTTTCTCCCGCCCTTCTCTCCTTTCTCCCGCCCCCTTTCTCCTTTCTGCCGTCCCTTTTCTTCTTTCTCCCACCCCCTTTCTCTTGTCTCCTGACCTCAAACATGGAAATCTAATGTATAGAAATCTCGTTTTAATAAAAATCGATCAAATTTGTTGCCTTTTGATAGCTAGTCCCTGTCTTGTCCTTTCACAAGATAGAAGTGTTGTTTCTTCTGCTTCAAGAACCTCAATATTATTTTCACTGACTGTTAAGCTGTCTGTTTGACTGATTGAATTTGCAACTGAGTTTGATGCACGCCGTTTCCCGATGATTTTTTTAAGTAGAAATCCAAATGCTGACAATAAGAAGAAAATAACTCTTATTTGACTGTTCAGAAGAAATCCTAAATGATTTCGGAAGTATACCTCATGAGGATAGGCCTACATATATATACATGGCTATAACCGAAACACCTCGTTTAGTATAAGAAACACAGACCAGATCTAGATTTCTATTATAAAAATACACACACACAATTATTATACTACAAGCATGGAAATGTGAATGTCTTAAAAAGTATGAAAATAAATTCTGAAAAATGTATTCCACAACAAGAAATATGTATCATATGCTAAGTATACCAGCTCCAAATTACTCTAAATATATGCACATAGAAAATGGAATTAATTACAAAGGATTATATAATAAGATATACTGGATGGTCCTGATTGATTTTAATATAGGTTCAAGTTAATTTACGCTTCGGTGTACAGGGATGGTTGTATTTTTTTTTTTGTTTGAGCTGGGCATGCTGTACAGGTAAAGATGATGAAAAATGCACCATTTCATAAAACGGTGAGTCAAAACGATTCATAAATGATTAACAAAGGAGTCTTTTGGCGGGACACATTGCTGACATGATTCCATGAGCGTCGGAAAAAGTCAGAGGGTATTTACGATCTTTAAAAGAGATTTTATAACAAGTACATATACAAGTATGTATGTAAAATAAAAGTGTTGTAAATGGAGATATGGAAGATTCAATAAGACTGCAACTGGCCAATTAACGACACACAAAAACCAAAGACATCTAGATAACACAGGACAAATGCAGGATGGACTCCTGACGAGAATTTTTATACTGCTAATTTGTAGATTTAGAAAAGATAATTTGGTCCCTTGAATTTGAAAGTTAATAAGTATATTTACTATAGCAAGTATAAAATCTATCAAATGATAACATCACACGTTCACAACTTTAGTCATATTAATTATAATACAAACATATGTCAATCTCGTAAGGTACACATTTGTTAGTCTTTAAACAACTCGTATTTCAGAAGAAAACTCAAACCATTATGAAATAATGAGATGTAGCGCCTATGAGACATCTTTCTATCAAAGAAAAAATTATGTTTTGTCACAAAATGCCTTTTAAAATAGACCATCATCAGATACGCTTAATATATATTTTGTCCCGAATGCATACTGTTTTACCCGTGTCCGTTTGACCGCCCGTTCCTGACTTGGTATATATAACTGATGGTTTATTCAGTTTATTTCTTATTGCTAAGTTTTTAAGATTTAACTTTAAATTATGTACCAGGTGTTAGTATATATACCAAAAGTGCGCATATTGTCAGGATTGTCGTTTGTTTTTTGTTTTAAACGACAGGTTGCTTAATTTGGCATTTTGATAATATATAAATGCATGCAGAATACATAGCCCTGCTTACTCCTTCTACGACTACATGTACAATTTCAAGCTTGAACTTTTATATTGCGCCGAGTGTTTTACTTATATAGAGAGTGCATATATATTCTCAGGATTTTATATTGTATAATTTTTCACGAATGCCAGAATGTTGAATTTTGAATACAATTTGTAAGGTGCCTTTATATATTATCAAAATGTTAAAATGAGCAAACTCATTAAAAAAAATCACACGTTTACACCATACAGTATACTTGATTAAGAATATGTATTCAGTCATCAAGATATTGTTTGTATCTATCATTTTTACAACTAACAGAATGTTTAACCTTTTTGATGGTTGCATTAAATGTGTCTTTTAAACACAAATATTTCTAATTGTATTGAATTGTCCTAAACATGCATGAAATATTTGACACACGGAAGTTGCGGTGGCATCACCCTTGTCTAGTTTGGCTAGTAGGGTTAAGTTGAAGATTTGAATTTCTTTATAAGCTAATTGTGCACCCGCTTAGGCCGAAATGCAAGTAACCGGACAGGGGAAATGAAAACAAAATAACAAACACCATTCAGATCCCGTTACAGATTTTCATACCTCTCCGTAAAAATAACGTTATTTGATAATGATATGCAGTAGCGTCATCCCTTTTCTGTCAAATTCTTTGCATATCGGTCAACTTTGACGCAATTTATCTAAAACACTGGGATGGTAACATGTTTGTTTCTATAAATGCACGGATTCAGAATACAATCATTGATATTCTGAACGGTTAGTTTTTAGTCTTTCTCCGTATATAAGAAATCGTAATGATTGAATAAGTGACGACGCTTGGCGTATTTATGAGGTCGTTTTCATTAACCTACTATGACATTTATTAGCACTTTCTTCAAACTTTGTATTATCTAATTTAATAAAATAATCAATTTCCGGCTCACTTTTATTATTTTTTTATAAACATTTTTGTCTCCCTTATCTACCCCTTTTCTCCTTTCTCCGGCCCCTTCTCTCCTTTCTCCCGCCCCCTCTCTCCTTTCTCCCGCGCCCTCTCTCTCCTTTCTCCCACCCCCTCTCTACCTGTCTCCCGTTACCCTGTCCGCCCTCTCGTATAGGGACTTATCATTTTTTTACCTGGGAGGCCAGGGGGATTTGGGACTGGTTATTTTGAATTTAAACATGTAAAATTTTCTTGACCCCCCCATAATCTTTCACTATTTTTATTTTATCCCCCCCCCCCTTAAAAACATTTTAAAAAATAAAAATCAAACAAATATAAGCTTTCCAAAAAGCTTGTCTGACTTGAATATCTTTCTTTTATGATAGATCTAATCAAGGATTTATATAGTGTCACTATACAAATCCATGATCTAATCTAATCTAAATTATTTTCAAACCCACTTTGTACAGGAAACATATTTTTATATGAAGAACAACTGCTATATTTGTATACAAGAGTGAGTTTTTAAGGGTCGGATTAAGGACGTGACAAGTTGAACGGTGTTCCCAACTTTTCACCATAGCCGGACGATACGCAGCTATATCAGTCACGACAAGGCTCGACACCTCTTTCACTACATATCATGTGCTAAGGGTCAATACGTTCTTACATTAAGTTATGTGCACTTAATCTCTATACTAGTTGAGATATATATACTAGATAAAATTTTGTAAACTACTAATAATGGTAAAAAAATCAAAATGTTCAAAATCATTTGCATTGGTGTTAATTAGGCTAACAATTTAATATTTAACACACAGAAAATTAAAAAAAAATTGATGCATTTTACTGCTTATGTATTTATAAAAAAATAATCAATAGATATTAAGAAGCTTGAAATATTAACATCAATTTATTTGTTTTCATTATTATTGTTATGATAATTTATTCAGTGTTGTGATAGAATGTTTTTCTCGGGGACAAAATATGTCTATATTACTTTAAAACTATGGAAATAACTTTGTACATGGGAGGATTATAACAACTATTGGTAGTTTGGTTTGACATACGTTTCTTGTACGTGTATTACCTGAATAACTGCGTACTAAAGATTTGCATGTACAGGATTATCTACTAATCTCTCCCTTTTTTATTTTAAATACACATGTTATCAATGTAAAGCATCCAAAAAAACTACTATAAATATCAACACCGACAAAACAGACAAAGTTGTCAATTGACCAAAACCTACCAGCCTTAAGTAAAGAAATCAGCCGATGTTTTGGATTTGTCAGCTGTTTTCGTCGCTTTATTAATCCATACCTTCGAATGATCAGAAAGCCAGTAACAAAATTGATGCCGAATAGAACTACAAGAATATTTTTTTTAAACATGAGCAGAAACCATAGCAGTGATGTCGAGAATTAGATATTTAAGCTGCTAAGACACATAAGTAGCGGTTTGTATCAGCAACCATACATGGCTGTTTCCTGCTCTTTCGTCGGGTTGTTGTCTCTTTGACGTATTCCCCGTTTCCATTCTCAATTTTATGGATATGCCATCAGTTAACTTCCCTATGAGATATATACAGGAGCATCAGGAATACGACATGGAGCTGTGTAGTCTGAGAAACTATATCCACCACACACGCTGGAATGGATCACCTTGAAGTGGACTGTTAATGGAGTAGTTCAGAGACCAGGTCTTAATTATCTAGACAGCAACTTCATAGTTATGACTGCATGACAAAAACCTCACGACCTATTGTTCAGTGACCAAAGCCAAACTCGATGCCACCGGTCACAAATGATTGAACAGCCTTGCAGACTTCAAGATCGACATCATATATCGACCCGGAAAGAAGAATGGAAACGCATATCGATTTAGTCGGAATAACAGGAGAATTACCCAGATGACGAGGAGGAGGAGATGGAATACCCAGATGACGAGGAGGAAAAGGAATACCCAGATGACGACGAAGAAGAGAAGGAATACCCAGATGAAGATATCATCGACTGGAAACAGGCACAAGCAATGGTTTCCCAGATAGCATGCACCATTTGTAAGATAAATCAAAGATGAAAGGAACCCTACAGCAACAGATGTTAGACCATCAGCACTCCAACGACAGTTCCAACAGCTTCATCACAAATATGGTGTACTTTACAGAAGATTACTTTTATCTCATCTGTTTTCTTAAATGTTCACCCTAAACTGTAAAGGAAATATATGTAATAAAAGGAAATTATTTGACTTTTTGTCCTGTGACTTTCTCTCCGCTTATTATATCAAATTGTCGTCCCCTAAGTCTAAAGGGGAATTCAAATACACAGGGGGAATGGGGTCATGAATATTATCATCAATTGATTGATTGATTGGTGTTTTAATGCCACTTTCGGCACCAATGCGCTGTTTCGTCGAGGTCATTTTTTATTGGTGGACGAAGCCGGAGTGCACGGAGAGAACCAATTTTAAATTCAAGGTTTTAAAAGTAATCGTTTGGTTCAGTTGACATGAGTTGGAAAGGTAAAACGTTAGTATATCTGAAGCTGTCAAACTGAATTGTTCTCTAGTTAAAGCTGGTAGACTTTCCTATAATTTTGATATGATTTGTCCCGAAAGTAGTAGTACTGTAAATATCTTATCTATTTGATTAATTTGATAATTTATTGTTCTAATGAAATTCACTACACAATAACGGCTTATTGAACCACAATTTAGCGAATGCAATTAAATATATAAGTAAGTAAATTTTATTTACAGTCGGCACATATATATAATCAACAATAAAACACGAACTTAAGAAAGCTCTTACAACAGGTAACATATATATACATAAAAAAAACCATCACAATACAACAAGGTTACAAATAAGACAAGTTCACATAAGCATAAAAATGTAAGCCCATATAATTTTAAATAAGATAAACGCACATAGGCACTTTTAAAATGTCACATATGCACACACCTAAAAATTTAAACAATTGGTGGAGAGTTGTCCAATTGGCAATTATACCACACCTTCTTATTTTTATAAAGCAATGAGGTTATGGCAATTTTTAATTCACATCAAGCACTTTTATAGGACAAAGCAAGGAATGTAGCCAATAAACATGCATGTATACTGAAGCAGGTAGCAAACTTTGAGGCAGAAAACTTGAGCAGAAAGCAGGAACATGAGACAGCAAGGTTTTTTTATTTACAGGATCTACAGAAACAATTTTGTCCAACACACCAGCTAAAAATATAATTGTTTTAACTAGTCAAATGAGGCCTCATTTGGCAGTGTATTACAAAGTTGTGCTATAGATCTTGGTTTGTGCACAATTCGAATATATAAAATTATATATGAATTATGTTTTTTTATACACTAAGATCAAATAAGATTTATTTCAAGTCGGCAAGTTAAAAACCAATATAACATAAGCTCTGAGTGGGCTTTTGAACCGATATATTATAGATTAAAGACATGCATATTACATCGGCGCGGGACGTTTGCGCTTTTTGATAGGACATTTGCACTATTTCAATAGGACATTTGCGCTTTTTAAAGTAGGACATTTGCATTTTATCACAAACAATATAATAGTAAATGTTTCTACGTAAACGTTTGCGCTTTATCAACATAACACTTGAGTTATCATGGGTTGATGGAAATAAATTCCTTACTCTTTTTAAAAGTTAACATGTACAGCATCTTCTTATATCTATGTACAGCAGGTGGTTTAAAAATCAAATTTCGGTCTCACAAATTTAAATTGATTGGTTTTACTCATTGTTGAAAGACGTACGGTGACCTATAGTTGTTAATTTCTGTGTCATTTGGTCCGTCTTAATTGTGGAGAGTTATCTCATTGGCAATCATACCACATCTTCTTATTTCATATTAAATAAACTATGGTGGTACAGTTCCTCGGACTATTCGTGCAACAGAATGGACACAAGAGGGATATACTTTTTTCAATTTTAAATCCACGAATTATACTTGAAGAATTTAGGCCTAATTTCAATATTCCGTCAATAAAAGTTTCGTTTTCTCGATCGTTTACCCAAAAACATAATATACTATATTTTTTTATCATATCATGTCTTGTTTACCCGAATATTTTTTTTCTGATTTTTCGTTTGTTCGGCCTGGAAGAATTTTCAAAGAATATGTGAACATCTTTACATGACTTTGGTAAATTTTCATAGAAAGTAACACAAAAAGATCATGAAAATTCTACAAATTTCAATAATTTCTATACAGCATATGAGCTAGAATTTTAAATTTTAGTTGAAAAAAAAACCCTTTCAGTCTATGGTAACCCCTTACAATTTTACTTCATTATCTCATGTGATATCAATACCATTCAAATTAGTGGTGCTAAGTTGGATAATTTGTACTGTAACATATATGCTCGGTTACGGGTCCTTTATTCGATTTAATGAAATATTCGTTTTCGTAGTTAGATAGTACGTTTTTGTCTTATCTTGCTAATAATTTGCATAGGTTAGCAGTCTTACCTGAAAATTCAAACGCATTGCCGACCTAGAACTAAAGCCGGAAGTAAGTTATGAAGGTTACTGTCGAAAAGAATATTAACATCTTACTAAAACGGACAGAAACCTCGCTACATTTAAATGGCAGCAGCACAAGGAACGTACAACCCCTTACTTTCTAGTAAGATGACAGTCTGGAATGATTGTTACACTCAGAACTTTTATCGTTTATTTTCAATTTTGTATGATTTGTAGTGTATAAAAATTATTTCTGGTCGCGGTCTTGATCTCTGAAATTATATCCCAAGTGTAATTTTCACACCATACTAGAATCAGAATTCAATGTCGTGATGCGAATGAGTTGATTCTAGCAGTATATGGCTTGTCGCATAGTCCTGACGTCTGCTGGGGGTATAATTGACCGCCCCCTATTTCAACATGTTGTATTGACTTTGAAACTTTTGCGACTAGTTTACATGAATTATAGTTATCTCGTACCATTGTAAACTCGTACCAATGTCAACTCGTACCACTAAAAAAATACTCGTACCAATGCAAACTCGTACCACTGCTAACTCGTACCACGGTAAATTCATACATTGTAAACTCGTACCAACTTATTTAAATGCATTCAAATGGTGTTTTATGATGAATATATACTTTAATTTCACTCAATACCTCTTAAGTCTGTAAAATGTATATAATTTGAAATTACAATGACCAATTTGTAGCTAATTTTCCTTTCCTTGTCTAATTGGATAGAGAAAACCGTGGCAGAATGGCTCTGTTGTCTCCCTTGAATAGACTCTTTTTATACGACCGCAAAAAAATTTTTGTGGTCGTATATTGGTATGATGTTGGCGTCGTCGTCGTCGTCGTCGTCGTCGTCGTCGGCGTCGTCAGAAGACACATTGGTTTTCGCACTCTAACTTTAGTTTAAGTGAATGGATCTCTATGAAATATTACCACAAGGTTCAATACCACAAAAGGAAGGTTGGGATTGATTTTGGGGGTTATGGTACCAACAGTAAAGGAATTAGGGGCCAAAAAGGGGCCAAAAATAAGCATTTTTGTAACTTCCAGACATAACTTGTGTGTTAGTGTATGGATCTCTCTGACATTGTACCACAAGGTTCCATATCACAAAAGGAATGCTGGGATTGATTTTGGGGGTAATTGTCTCAAAATTTTAGGAATTAGGGGCCAAAAAAGGGGCAAAAAACAAGCATTTTTCTAGTTTCATGACAATAACTTGTGTGTAAGTGTATGGATCTTTCTGAAATTGTACTACAAGGTTCCATATCACAAAGGGAAAGCTGGAATTGAGTTTGGGGGTAATTGCCGAAACGTTGAGGAATTGGGGGCCAAAAAGGGGCCAAAAATAAGCATTTTTCTAGTTTCCAGACAATAACTTGTGTTCAAGTGTATGGATCTCTCTGAAATTGTACTGCAAGGTACCATACCACAAAGGGAAGGCTGGGATTGATGATGGGGGTAATTGCCTCAAAATTTTAGGAATTAGGGGCCAAAAAGGGGCAAAAAATAAGCATTTTTCTAGTTTCAGGACAATAACTTGTGTGTAAGTGTATGGATCTTTCTGAAATTGTACTACAAGGTTCCATATCACAAAGGGAAAGCTGGGTTTGAGTTTGGGGGTAATTGCACTAAACGTTTAGGAATTTGGGGCCAAAAAGGGGCCAAAAAACACATTTTTCTAGTTTCCAGACAATAACTTGTGTTCAAGTGTATGGATCTCTCTGAAATTGTACTGCAAGGTACCATACCACAAAGGGAAGGCTGGGATTGTGTTTGGGGGTGATGAATCATAAGGGGGTTAAAAAAATTGGAGGGGGGGGATTTTTTTTTTTTTTTTCTTTTTTTCCTTTTTTTTTCTTTTAAAATTTTTCATTTTAAGTTGGTTATTTCTGATTTATATTTAAAAGCAAATAATAATGATATGGTAGGAGATACACACCAAACAGGATGTGTAAATTATTATATAATAAGTATTGTGCAATAGCAAGAAATTTTCAATTGTACAGTATTGCACAATAGCAAGAAATCTTCAATTGCACAGTATTGCGCAATAGCAAGAAATCTTCAATTGCACAGTATTGCGCAATAGCAAGAAATATCCAATAGCACAATATTGCACAATAGCAAGAAATTGTCAATTGTACAGTATTGCGCAATAGCAAGAAATATTTAATTGCACAGTATTGTGCAAAAGAAGATACTTCGTATAAATTGCTCATTTCTTGACCAATTTCAATGGGGTTTTATTCTTGAATTCTTGGGGTTCTTTAATATGCTGAATCTGACCGTGTATTTAGTTTTTGGATTTTGGGCCCTGTTTTTAAATTGGTCCACATTGAGGTCCAAAGGGTCCAAAATTAAACTTTGTTTGATTTCATCAAAAATTGAATTATTGGGGTTCTTTGATATGCCGAATCTAACCGTGTATTTAGATTCTTAATTTTTGGTTCCATTTTCAAATTGGTCTACATTAAGGTCCAAAGGGTCCAAAATTAAACTTAGTTTGATTTTAACAAAAATTGAATTCTAAGGGTTCTTTGATATGCTGAATCTAAACATGTATTTAGATTTTTGATTATGGGCCCAGTTTTCAAGTTGGTCCAAATCGGGGTCCAAAATTAAACTTTGTTTGATTTCAACAAAAATTGAATATATGGGGTTCTTTGATATGCTGAATCTTTCCATGTATTTAGATTCTTGATTTTTGGGCCCCGTTATCAACTTTGTCCACATTGAGGTCAAAAGGGTCCAAAATTAAACTTTGTTTGATTTCATCAAAAATTGAATTCTTGGGGTTCTTTGATATGCTGAATCTAACCATGTATTTAGATTTTGGATATTGGACCATAATAGGTGAATGTCCAATTTAAAATTTTTAAGTTCTTAGACCACATTCATTCTGTGTCAGAAACCTATGCTGTGTCAAATATTTAATCATAATCCAAATGCAAAGCTGTATCAAGCTTGAATGTTGTGTCCATACTTGCCCCAACTGTTCAGGGTTCGACCTCTGCGGTCGTATCAAGCTGCGCCCTGCGAAGCATTTTATTTAAACTTTTACTGACAACTATTTGATTTAATTTTTTAAAATCATTCCAAATCAGTAACATTGAATAGATTTGGGTATTTTTCTATTGTTTCTAAAAGGAATTTTATTTAATGAAAGAATTTATTTATTGTGTTTTAAAGGTTTAAAATTGTTTATGACCAACAGTTAGAAAGTATGAAATTTATTTTTATACAATATTCAGCACATTTTAGCAGAATACCGACCGTGCAAGGGCTGTATAGCCAGTCAAGGTCGTTAAAAACTTCCATTTGTTGTTAGCAGAATATGACCATGCTAAAATGATTAAACAAGATAATTAGTTAATAATCAACCAATAATCACACAATCAAAGGAATTAAGTAATTACATTCGTATTTTTGTCTAAGTTTTCATTAAAATCTGGTATAAAATTCAGATATTTTAATTTTTTGTATAAAGCTTAAACAAAAATAATCATAAAACACTGATTCGTATTTTTGTCTAAGTTTTCATTAAAATCTAGTATAAAATTCAAGTAATTCAACTTTTTTTATTTAGTTTACCCCAAAAAAAATCATAAAACATTCGTATTTTTGAATATACTTTTAATGGTACGAGTTTGCAGAATCCGGGTCCGTTCGCCCCCATGCACGTTCGCCCCCATGCACGTTCGCCCCCTTTCACTTTCGCACCCTACACGTTCGCACCCAAAGTCCGTTCGCACCCTACACGTTCGCGCCCAATTTTTATTGGTTTTGTGTTTAATAATTTGTAAACGAGTTTTGGTAAGTGTATTGCTATAAATATATATTTTTTCATTGTTTCTAAATAAAGTGAGATTCTGACAAGGTTTTTTTTGTGTCATGGTAAATGGTAAATGTATTGCTATTAACATTTTTTTTTCATTGTTTTTAAATTAAGTGAGATTCTGACGACCAGTATTTTAGTTTTGTGTTGAATAATTTTTAATCATGTTTAGGTAAGTGTATTGCTCTATATATATCTATATATATACAAGTCTAAATTGAAAACAACGTTCAAACCTATGATTGCGTTGGATAAAAACCGCAATATTTATACGTGTGCATGTAAAACAAATATATATATATATATATATAAATTATTTTTTTTCATTGTTTCTAAATAAAGTGAGATTCTGACAACGTTTTTTTAGGTGTTGATAAAATCTTAATCATGTTTTGGTTAGTGTATTGCTATAAATATTTCTTTTTTATTGTTTCAAAAGGAAATGGGATTCTGACAACGTTTTTTTTTATATGTTGAATAATTCGTAATCATGTTTTGGATAGTGTATTGCTATAAATATTTTTTTTCATTGTTTATGAATAAAGTGAGATTCTGACACACATGAGATCAAAGGAGCCAAGCTGTTAAAAACAATTATCTTTCATGTTTTTTATTTAAAATCTTCCAAGTTTTACTCATACCAAGCTAAATACATGCAGTATTTACATTTAAAGCAAGTTAAAACAACCATGACAACAATCATGATTTTTAAACACCCAACAATAACATCATATTAGGCTGTGTATAAATACCAATTAGCAGTAATCATACACAATTAACATTTAATAATTAATCATCAAATTAATTTAAAACAAAATTTCATTTAAAAATTCCCGAATTTTTATTTATGAAAATAAAAATATTTTACAAAACATCTAAAAATTTATCAGGTTTTTGAATAAAAAAAGGGTGCGAACGTGTAGGGTGCGAACGGACCTAGGGGGCGAACGTGTGGGGTGCGAACGTGTAGGGTGCGAACGTGTATTGGGCGCGAACGGACCCGATACCGAGTTTGCAGTGGTACGAGTTCTGATTGGTACGACTTCCCAGTGGTACGAGTTTACGTTGGTATGAGTTAACTTTTTTGGTACGAGTTTACGTGGTACGAGTTTACAATGGTACGAGTTAACTTGCTTCCGTTTACATCCACCCCATTTACAGGTATTTATTTGCTATGAGAGTGAAAAGTGACATGTGTACATACATTGAACATACTTCACCAAATCTGATTAGGTCTGATCAAATACATTTTAATATCTGATGAGGTATGTTGTCAAAGGCAGATTATTATTCATTTGATTTTAGCAGCTGGTTGTTTCCTAAATTGGTCAATAAAATGATATTTATGTTCTTTTAGAAAAGATGCCAAGAGAATACAAGCGCCAGTTAAGTAAAGATGATATAGGCAATCAAGCTAGGGTATTGTTGAACCACTTCATCCATGATAGAATATCTCGAGAACAAGGAGAAGAACAAGTGCCATCTACCGAGGAACTTCAAGAACCAGGTACCCCAACAGGTTAGAGAAAGCCCTTTTTATTATACCCCCTGCTCCAAAGGACGGTATACTGTTTTCCTTCTGTCTGAACCATGAATTTTTATCAGCAACTATAAATCAGACAGGTCTGTCATAGTTTCCTGAAACTTGGTCGACTTTTTATTTTAGCATGTTTTAGAGCTCACACTAGCAGGTGACTGGGGCGAAGAAGTCGCTTTCCCGTGTGTCACTTTGCAGTTGTATAACCATGATAATGGTATGGTCTTCTAAAGACATTTGTTTTTCAGATAAAAACTTGAGTATAAGTGTATGGATCTCTATGACTTTGTAGCACACGGTTCCATACCACAAAAGGAAGGTTTTGATTGATTATAGGGGTTATGGCGTTGAGGAATTAAGGGCCAAAAACAATACTTTTCTAATACTTTGTATAAATTGCTTATTTCTTTACCAATTTCAATGGAGTTCAATTCAAAGTCTTGAATTCTTTGGGATTCTTTAATATGCAGAATCTACATGTAACCATGTATTTAGATTTCGGATTTTGAGCCCTGTTTTTATTAAGCCCCACCTAGGGTCATTATGTTTTTCGGTCTGATGTCCAAAGGGTCCAAAATTAAACTTTGTTTCAATTCAACAAAAATTGAATTATTGGGGTACTTTGATATGCCAAACCTAACCTTGTATTTAGATTTTTAACCGGATTTTCGAAGTAAAAATCAGTTATTGATTTGGGGATGTACAGCGGGCGGGCGGCTGCCAAACAGTGTCTGTTCGTTCACATGAAAAAGCTTTGAGGAATTTTTTTCAAATTTAGAAATGTTGTATCCTGTGACTAAATGAAGGTCAAATTCAATTTTCACGATTTTAGCTGTTCTCGTTCACTTATAGCCCTTTCCCAAGAATTCAATTTTTGATGAATTAATCCATTTCTGTACAAACGGAAATAACTTATTTTTTAAAAGACATTGTATTAATGATAAATGACATTTTGGATTTTTTAACCGGATTTTCGAAGGAAATATCAGTTATTAAAATGGTGACATACGGCAGGCAGCTGGGCGGATCAACGGGCGGCTGCCAAACAGCTTGTCGGCAGAATAACATGAAAACGCTTTAACAAATTTTTTTCAAATTTAAATATGTTGTTTCCTGGGACTTAATGAAGGTCTAGTTCAATTTTCAAGATATTAGTATATCTCCTTTGTGAGTTATCACCATTTTTAATATCCAAAAGTGGAATTTTTAAATATTTTACTCTTGTTATCTTTTTTATGACTAAGCATATGGTCTATCTCACAACAAAATATTGGAGTGTCAGATTAATTTGAAAACTATCTATTTCTAAGTGGTAATGATTATAAGCTATATTATTAGACATTTTGAAGTTAATTACATTATTAATTATTAATTAGATCTGGGTTATATCTTAGCATATAATATCATTGGAGTGACAGATTTATTTGAAAATGTTCTGTTTCCTGATAAGATCTGTAGGACTGTATATATAAAGTTTGAAATTTACTAGTAGGACTGTATAAATGAAATTTGAAATTTGCTGTTCATTATTAGACATTTTGTAGATAATTAAGTCTCCCTATACATTTCTAAACCATATCTATTCTTACCCCCACCCCTTTCAATTTGAGAATGTACTTTTATCTTGTAAACAGTTGAGATCCCCACCCCTAAACCATATATATTCTTGTATGGGACAATAAAACAAATCAAATGAAATATTTGGGGAGTCCCCAGGTTCACCCCCACCCCTACTTTTTGAAAACTTGTAAACAGTCAAGATTCCAACCCTGAAACCATATATATTCTTGTATGTGACAACAAAACAAATCAAATGAAATAAAAGGCGAGTCCCCTGGGGTAACCCCCACCTGTTTGCGAACTTGAAAACGGTCAAGATCCCCACCCCTAAACCATATATATTCTTGTACGGGACAATAACACAAATCAAATGAAATATAGGGGAAGTCCATGGGGGTCACCCCCACCCCCCTTCTTTTTCAAAACTTGTAAACGGTCAAGATCCCCACCCCGAAACCATATATATTGTTGTATGGGACAATAAAACAAATTTAATGAAATAAAAGGCGAGTCCCCTGGGGTCAAACCACCCCATCCTGTTTAAGAACTTGTAAACCTTCGAGATCCCCACCCTTAAACCATATATATTCTTGAATGGGACAATAAAACAAATCAAATGCTATATAGGGGAAGTCCATGGGGGTCACCCCCACCCCCCTTCTTTTTGATAACTTGGAAACAGGCGAGATCCCCACCCCTAAACCATATGTATTCTTGAATGGGATAATAAAACAAAACAAACGAAATTGAGGGGAAGTCCCCTGGGTCGCCCCCACCCCCCTTTTTTTTGAAAACTTGTAAACGGTCAAATTCTCCACCCTGAAACCATATATATTCTTGTATGGGACAATAACACAAATCAAATGAAATATAGGGGAAGTCCATGGGAGTCACCCCCACCCACTTTCTTTTTGGTCAAGATCCACACCCTGAAACTATATATATATTCTTGTATGGGACAATAAAACAAATCAAATGAAATAAAAGGCGAGTCCCCTGGGGTCACACCCACCACCTCTTGTTTGAGAACTTGTATACGGTTGAGATCCCCAACCCTAAATCATATATATTCTTGTATGGGACAATAAAACAAATCAAATGAAATATAGGGGAAGTCCATGGGGGTCACCCCCACCCCCCTTCTTTTTGAAAACTTGTAAATGGTCTAGATCCCACCCCTAAACCATATCTATTCTTGAATGGGACAATAAAACAAATCAAATGAAATTAAGGGGAAATCCCCTGGGGTAACCCCCACCCCCCTTCTTTTTGAAAACTTGTAAACGGTCAAGATCCCCACGCCGAAACCATATATATTCTTGTATGGGACCATAAAACAAATCAAATGAAATATAAGGTGAGTCCCCTGGGGTCACCCCCACCCCCCTCCTTTTTAAGAACTTGTAAACGGTCGAGATCCCCACCCCTAAACCATATATATTCTTGTACGGGACAAAAAAACAAATCATATGAAATATAGGGAGAGTCCCCTGGGGATCACCCCCCCTTTTGAGAACTTGTAAACGGTCAAAATCTCCACCCCTTAACCATATAAATTCCTGTTCGTAATTTCAAGAAGATTTGAATGACATACAGGGTATATCCATAGGCGTCACTAATGCATATCATAAACCAATTTGTACTGGACATTGCCCAATGTCAAGCGACAATGGGAATGACGAATTATTGGAGCTTTGTTTAGGAGACTTCGTAACAGTATCACTACTGGACGAAAAAACAACTGTCCATACCAGTAACAGTGGTTCTAAGACTGATAATGTTTGTTAAAGTTGTAACAGTTGTTAAATTTCACTGTTGCAGTTATTTTGTAACTGTCCCAACTTTAAAAGTGTTTGTCTATAACATAAATCGACTGCAACAACGCTAGAAATAACTGTCACAGTCATTAAAGGACTGATACAACTATTTCAAAGGTGTAACAGTTGATTTACAATTGTCCCAACTCGAAAAACGTTGTAACAGTCATAAATAAACTGATTAAACGCCTAAAAGGTTGTCACAGTCATAATAAGACTGCTGCAACCATTTGAAAATTGTAACAGTTATTTAATAACTGTCCCAACACGGAAAACGTTGAAACAGTCATAAATAAACTGTTTAAACGTTGAAAAGGTTGTAACAGTAAATATATGATTGCTACAACCATTACATAGTCATAGCTAATTTATAAGTGTAGCAACTTCCAAACATTGATCGTCATTAAGACTTAAAAGTCACGGATACAAAATTTCTGACAGTCAGGGATAGGTTAAATTATTTGTAAAACAATTTTACCGTATGCAATATAAGGTTGTGACAAAGAGATACAACTATCACACCCATTTAATACATTAATTTTAGAAAGAAATTGATTTAAAAAAAAATAGTATTTTGAAATATTTGCCGCTGAACATTTTGGTATTCCCCGCTTTTTAGTGAATGTGCTAAATTTATATAATAATTTAACACTCCCTCGCCTCTCATCTCATTCTGAGACTACTATCAGTCTCATCGAACAAAATCGGAACCAGCACTTAATACCTGCAATTTCACACAGGACGGTTTTATTCGCATTTAAAACTACTAACAGATAAATCGAAAAAGTGTACCCAATATATTTGTAACCAAATGTATCTTTAACTGTATTTACAGTTGACAATTTTCAATATTATCTAAATAAAAACTTTTTTATTTTTTTAAATTAGTTAGGTGTGAAATCATTCATGAATACAAGGTTGTCTTCAATACCCGTAGTTTTACGAATCACATTACTTTATAATAACGGTTAATATACATGATATACTGTAAACCTAGCAGGGAACTCCGAATATACACACTTGTCAAACTTATCCCCATATTAAACTGCTTAATTTTTTCCCGAGGGCTTATTTTACACAATTATTTTGAGCTTTTATTTGGGGCTACATTTTTTTCTTGCAAAATTATAAATATTACCGTTACGGTATTAACCATTTTGATTTCTATACATATAAAAAAAAATCAAAGCTATGATGAACATTTAACGCATCTTTTGCAGCTATGGAAGAACAAAAATACTCTTAAATCTATCTAAATTTAATTTATTTTACTATATTTCATTTTTGAATAATTCAATATTGACTGGACTTTGTACTGTATATTGTAACGAGTGGTCTATTTGAAGTTCAAATGTCCTTGATAAATAGCACTTCGGCATTCATTCATGATTGATTGAGGTAAAAATATTATCACTCGAGATCATTCATATTTTCGCCGGATTTTTTTCTCAACCAATTTACCAAAAGTATTTATGAATAGATGGACGTACTATACAAGACCGACAAGATAACTAGCGCCAGTGAAAGTTGAAATGTTCAAAACAAGAAAACTCGCATTGTTTCAGACAAGGAAATCAAATCTTCTTTTATTTATTCACATAACGG